GTCGCTCACTGTGACTCGGCCGAGCGCGGCGCGAGGCGGGCGCTGCGGTGAGTCCACTTCCCGACCCCCGCGCTGCGCCAGCGCCTGGGAGGGAGGCGGAGGATGGAAGTGGGTTTATCGGCCATTACCCTCTGTCTCGCCAGCAGCCCTGCGGTGGCGACCACGATGGACCCGGAGCCGGTGGGCCGAGCGGAAGGAGAAGCAGTCGCAGCCCCGGGGGGGGCGGGCGCCGCGTCGGGGAATCGGCGCGGCAGGTAGGCGCGGCCGCGTGCAGAGGCCAGGAGAGCTTCCCTTCCCTTCCTCGGTGTCCACGGGCAGTCCTTTTGGCCTGCCTGGCCAGGAGCCCTCGAGCAGGCCGCCGGCCGGACGTGGGTTTCGGGCTTCCTCCTTACCCGGCCCCTGGCGCTGCTCCGAGAAATTTTTTGGGGGAAGGCCGGCCGTCTCCGCCCAGCCTGGGCGCCCCTCACTCACCCACCCCTTCACTGGCAGCGCTGCAGACCCTGGGCCCGCGTCGGGTTCCGGAGCGATGTTTCAGCTTCTTGCCTGCGAGCGACAGAAGGAAGGCTAGTCCGGGAAAGGCTGTCCTTAGAGCAGCTCGCAGCCTGGTGACGGCGGCGTCAACACTCAGACCCGTGTAGTGCTGGCGCCTGCCTTGGCATCTGCCCTTCGTTAGCGAATAGCAGCTGTATGCTTGCAGACCCTGGGCCCGCGTCGGGTTCCGGAGCGATGTTTCAGCTTCTTGCCTGCGAGCGACAGAAGGAAGGCTAGTCCGGGAAAGGCTGTCCTTAGAGCAGCTCGCAGCCTGGTGACGGCGGCGTCAACACTCAGACCCGTGTAGTGCTGGCGCCTGCCTTGGCATCTGCCCTTCGTTAGCGAATAGCAGCTGTATGCTAAGCGTTCTGGTGCTTTATTGAATTCACTGTGCCCTATGACAACCCCACGAGGTGGGTGTTACCCTCTTTTACCGAGGCGGTAACTGAGGCCCAGAGCTGCGCGGTCCAACGCGAACTGCATCGCAAATGTAATGGAAATTTTTCCAGTACCCACATTAAAAAGGTGAAAAGAAAGCTATTATATCAGTTTTAATATTTCACTTTACTGAATTTATCAAAAAACATTTTAACAGAATTAATGTGAATGTTATTAATGAGGTATTTTACATTCTCCTTTGAGTCTTTCCTGAATCTTTTAAATCCTATTTGTTTTTTACTCTTTAGAGCGTGTATTGGTTTCCACAGGCCACATTTTTCTTTCTTTCTTTCTTTCTTTCTTTCTTTCTTTTTTTGGCTGTAGGGCATGGGCACTCACCAGAGAGAGACTAGGGAATATGAGAAATCAGCCCCCTCCCCAGGGGGGTGGGGGGGTGAGGTGGGGTGGGGGTGGGGGAGATGACCAGGCCCATAGTCCCTTTTCCTCTTGGGATTTCTTGCATGCATGCACTTACATCCCGTGTGACTTTCAAGCTGCTGGGTCCTGTGGGCCCTGTGGGATCCAGTACCTCTTGCTCCAGGCCACCTGCTGGCTCATGACTGGCCACATTTTAAGTGCACTTTAGACACATGTGAGTGGTAGTTGCTGTAGAGGACAACAGAGATTTAGGGAGTTAGGTAAAGTTTGGAGATGTTTTTTGTTTTGGACTTGGCAGTCAAAATTAGTTTAGGGTCTCCTACCAAAGTAAAACTAATTGCTTTAACATAAATCTCCTTGGGAGTAAATAATTTCAGCTGTTAAAACCCCGAGTTGCTCATGTGTAGAAATCTTCCCATCCTCCATGAAAATGAAGCCTTGGAGGCTGGCTGGTGGTATGGTGGTTAAGGGCACTGGACTCTCACATGGCTGACTGCTGTTTGAGTCCCAGACCTGGTGGCTTGCTTTCTCACTTTCTCCCTCTCTCTCTGTCCCTCTCTGGTCAAATCTAAATAATGTTAAATAAAATAATTTTTTTAAAAAGAAAAAAATGAAGACTTCTGTAGCTTCATGTTTTACCTAAATGTTGATAAGACATTTCCCCTAAAAAACTATGCTGTGACCATGGCTCTTACAGTATGAGAGGTAGTCTGAGTTAAAAACTTTTCCACATACTAGTCTCTACATGAAATTTCTTTCTTTTTTTTCTCCTATATAAAAAGAAGAGGATAATATGCAAGAAGGAATTCAGGAGAACACCACTAATTGATTAGAGAGCTACTTCTGATTTTCAGTTGACTTGAGACCAGCTACTGACTGACAGATACACTTGAAACTTTCAAGTCCTCAGTGCTTGGTGTGCTTTTCCATTCCCCTTTTTTGGGGGAGGTACTAGAATTGTTTTTATCACTACTTCAGCTTCAAATCTCTCTAGTAGCAAAGTAAACATGCATGTACTTATGTACCAGGTATCTGTGTTTGTTTTGGTTTAGTGGTATTTTTTTGTGTCCTTAATTTAAAAATAATAAATATAATATTGTGACCAGCAGATGGCGTAATGGCTATGTTGCTGGACTCCCATGTAGTCGCCCGCAGTTTGAGGCCTGGACCCGGTGGCTTAAACTCATGCCAGGCGCATGTGTGTGTGTCCAAGATCCCAAGAGAAGAATGGAGGAAAAGGAATTGTGGCGTGGCCATTCCCCCTGGGAGTGATTTCTCGCTTTCTGTCTCTCTGTCTCTCTCTGTCTTTCTGGTGAGCGTACGCACCCTGTGGCAAAAGCCTCTCCTAAATAAATGAATGAATGAATGAGTGAATGAATAAATAAAATTCTTAAACAATAGAGGGCTGTAGAGCAAAAGTAAAAACTTGCAGGAAGTAATAGTATCACTCAGCCCTTGAGTCTTCATTCCTCCAAATAATTATTACATTTCTGGTGTAATGTCTCCAGGATTTTCTATGCATACATTATCTTTTTTTTTTTTTTTTTTTTTTTGGTGAGGTTTTTGATATAGGGCCCAGGTGCTCGCCGGACCGAGAGAGAGAGAGAGAGAGACAGAGAGACAGAAAGTGAGAAATCACCCCCCCGGGGGGATGGCCACACCACAATCCCTTCTCCATTCTCCTCTCAGGATCTTGGGCATGCATGCACACGCTCCCAGTGTGTTTTAAGCCACCGGGTCTGGGACTTGAACCGCGGTAGACTACATGGGAGTCCAGCAACATAGCCATTATGCTAACTGCTGGTCCCAATACAGTATCTTTTCTTTCCTGTTAAACACAAATGAGTTTATGAAATATGAACTGTTTTTTATTTGCACTTTTTGCTTTCTTGTTGACATACCTGAAGCAGAAACTTGTATGAAAATTCCAGATCTATGTCCATGAATTTGAGCACAGTAAAAAGGAAGAGGCTAGGGGATATGTGGAAATCTGGAGGGAGGTAGAGGCTGCCATCCTTTATGCCTTCCCAAGTTTGTCAGAGCTGAGAAACTCCAACTGTCCTGAAGGGAAGGGAGTAATTATGAGATTGGAGATTGGGCTATATTTAGAATTAGTCTCTAACCATGCCATTCAGTACCTTTTACGACATTGTAGCCAGCAACTTCTTCTCAGAGTAGACTTAACCAGAAACTTAGCCTCAATTTTATTGAAGGAATTAAAAGGTCAGCATTACCTGGGGGGTGATTTTTCACTTTCCATTTCACTGTCTCTGTCTGTCTTCTACAGTGACCACAGATGCCCTAAGGCAAAAACCTCTTTAAAAAAAAAAAAAGTCAATGTTATTCATTTATTTAGCTCCTCTGTTACCAATGCTTACTTTCTCCCAGAAACTGCTGGGATACAGCAGTCCCTACCACCATGTTGCTGTCTCCCTAGTTGGGAAAGGTGACTAAAGAAATTCCAAGTGTAGTAAGTATTTACGGAAGTTCTGGGTGCTACAAGAGTATACAAGAGTATAAAAACAGGTAATTAAAAACAGGTCCTGAGAAACAAGCAGATTTATAGTGCAGTTAACCATAAAATGGAGTAAAATGTTACTGACGTTGCATCTTTTTTTTTTTTTTTTCAATTTTATTTAGGAGAGATTTTTGCCGTAGGCATGTGTGCTCGCCAGAGAGACAGAAAGTGAGAAATCACCCCTCCTTCCCTGGGAAGATGACCACACCACAATCCCTTCTTCTCCATTTTCTTTTCAGGATTTTGGGCATGCATGCACGCATACACGCACATGCACCTGATGCGAGTTTTAAGTCACAGGGTCCAGGACTTGAACTGCGATCGACCATGTGGCAGTCCAGCGACAACTATTACACCATCTGCTGGACCCGTTAAGAAAGAATCTGTTTAATTGGCAGTGAAAAGTTTCTTACTTATGGGTTTATTGATTGTAAAAATCAAACATTTTGGAAAATTCAAAGAGTCATTTTTGTTTATAATTATTGGAAATTTTGTACCAAATTATTTTCTGATTGGTTTTACCTGTGAGTGCCTCGCTTCACTGCCTCCTACCTCATTACATGTCATAAAGTGTCTTGCACAGTTTTCTTTTTTTTTTAAGAATTATTTTATTCAACTTTATTTATTATGATTATTTTATTTAATTTGACCCGAGAGGGAGAGAATGAGAGTGGGAGAGAAGAAAAGTGAGAAAGCAAGCTGCTAGGTCCAGGACTTGAATCATGATCAATCATGTGGGAGTCCAGTGTCTTTAACTACCATGCCACCTGCTGGCCCCTTTCACAGTGTTTTTTGTTTGTTTGTTTGTGGGATTTTTTTTGTTTGTTTTGTTTTGAGAGGCTTTTGCTATAGGGCTCATGCCCTTGCAAGAAAGAGAGAGACAGAAGGCAAGAAATCACTCCTCAGGGGGGATAGATACGCTTCAGTCTCTTCTCCTCCATTCTCCTCTCAGGATCTTGGGCATGCACGCACACGTACGCGGTGTGAGTTTAAGCCGCTGGGTCCGGGACTCAAACTGTAGTTGACTACATGGGAGTCCAGCGACATAGCCATTATGCCAACTTCTGGTCCCATCTTTCACAGTTTTCTTCTTTTTAAAGAATTATTTTATTTTACTTTATTTATTTTAACTTGATGAGAGAGAGAGAGAGAGAGAGAGGGAAAGTGAGAAAGAAGCTACCAGGTCCAGGACTTGAACTGCAATTCGCCATGTGGGAGTCCAGCACTCTTAACCACCACACCACCTGTGGCCCCTCACAGTTTTCTTAATTTCCCAATCTTGTTTTTTTTCTAGAGAGATGTGCACACTCACCAGAGAGACAGAAAGTGAGAAATCACACACCCCTACCAGGGTATATTGCCATGCCACAATCCATTCTCCTGCATTTTCCTCTCAGAACCTTGGGCAAATGCAGACAACCCAACCTGGTGTGAGTTTTAAGCCACCGGGTTCAGGACCTGAACTGCGGTCAACTACGTGGGAGTCCAGTGAGGTAACCATTATATCATCTGCTGGTCCCCCAATTTTGTTTCCTGATGACAGACTACAGCCTAAGGGCCAGATCCAAATAGTCCATTTATGTACGATTTTCTAAAAATTTACTTATTTATTTAACTTTTTTGGTAATGATTATTTTATAAAGAATTATTTTAACTTTATTTATTTATTTAAATTTGACCAGAAAGAGACAGAGTGAGAGTCAGAGAGAGAGAAAGTAAGAAGGCAAGCTGCTAGGTCTGAGACTCAAACTGCAGTTGGCCATGTGAGAGTCCAGTGTCCTTAGCCACCATACCACCTGCTGGCCCCATTATTATTATTATTTTAATTGACCAGAGGGAAAAAAAGAGAGAGAGAGAGAGAGAGAGGCGGGGGAAATGAGAAAGCAAGCTGCCAGACTTGGGACTGGAATCGTGGTCAGCCATATGGGAGTCCAGTGCCTTAACTACCATGCCATCTGCTGGCCCCTTATGTACAGTTTCATTACAACACATCTATACCTATTTATCATGTAGTTTTCATACAAGTGGCTTTTTCCTTGTAGCTTTTGCAAAGTTTAGGTGACAGAGACTGTATGGTTCACAAAACCTATTTGGCTGTTAGAAGAAAAGTTTATTGACCCCTGCTTAAGATGATAAACCTGAAGGACCTCAGTTTAAGTCCTGGACCTGGAAGCTTGAAACTCACACCAGGGTGAGTGTGCATGCGTGCCCAAGATCCCAAGAGGGGAATGGAGGAGAAGGGATTGTAGCATGGCCATCCCCCCCGGGGGGTGATTTCTCACTTTTTGTCTCTCTGTCTCTCCAGCAAGCACATGCACCTTTTGGCAAAAAATCTCTCTCAAAAAAAACCAATGAAGATAAATGTGAAATTTGAGTTTTATTATATCAAAAATTAATATTGGGGCTGGCATGTGGCATAGTTAAGGATGCTGGACTCCGACATGGCCAATTGTGATTGGAGTCTTAGACCTGGTGGCTTACTTTCTCTCTCTCTCTCTCTCTCCCTCTCCCTCCCTCCCTCTCTCTCCCTCTCCTTCTCTCTCACTCCCTCTTTGGTTAAATTAAAATAAATAAATAAAGCTAAATAAAATAATTCTTTAAAAAAAATGAATGTCAAACCTTTAAAAGGAAGGCCTTAAATAAAGGTCTCCTTAATACAAATCTTTATATGAAATGTGATGATTGGAACAAATTGCCATTTTAAATTAAGTATTATATGTAGAGAATATTATTCATAGTTTTGTTTATACTTATCTAACTTTGGTATTGGAATGAAAAACATGAACTATGTCTCAGTCTTTCCCTTTGTAGATTTTTTTGTTTGGAGAGATTTTTGCTTTAGGGTGTGTGTGCTTGCCAGAGAGACAGAGACAGACAGAGAGACAGAAAGCGAGAAATCACTCCCCAGGGGGGATGGCCACGCCACAATCCCTTCTCCATTCTCCTCTCGGGATCTTGAGCACGCACGCACATGCACCCAGCATGAGTTTAAGCCACTGTGTCCGGGACTCGAACCGTGGTTGACTACATGGGAGTCCAGCGACATAGCCATTATGCTAATTGCTGGTCCCACCCTTTGTAGATGTTTAAAAAATCTTTTAGGATAAATATAAGAAGAGTCAGAATTAGTGGAGACTTTATACTAGTTAAGTCTCAGCAGAATGTTTCGAATTGGTAAAGTTGTCTAAGGATAAAGTAGTTGAGCCAATGAGAGACATTCCTTCTTCTTTGCCTGTGTCTTTAGAAAGGAAAAATTAAGCCAATGAGAGATTGCCAGAGGGAGCAGCAAGAAGCTGCATCTGTTCTAATGGGGGTGGAGTGGGGTAAATCAGGTGGTATCCTGTGAGAGATTCAGGCTCCATATGAGCTAGGACTTTTGTGTTGGCATTAGATATTTCCAGTTAATGTGATGACTGGAGATCTAATCAAGCTCTATGGGCTTTCCTTTGCATTGGAAATTACGGGATCCAAGAAGCAAATCCATGATCCAAAAGGAAATATTACTGTCAGGACCACCATAAGCCAAATTTTATCTCATAGAGAAATGTGAGATTAGGTAGGAATGACTGTAGGTGCCCAGGGACTGGAAAGGTCGGGTGGAGAAGAGTGGATAAAAGAAAGGTGGCTTGGGTGAACAATTGGGTCATCAGAAAAGTCATGCATTTTTGCATAGAAAAACACACATGACTTTCCCGATGATATTATTTTGAATTTGGAAAATGGTAGTATGAGATGAAATTGGTATTTCCCTATGAGAGAAATTTGGGTGGGCCAGCAGGTGGCATGATGGTTAAGGCACTGGACACTCCCACATGGCCAACCACACTGTTCAGGTCCCAGACCTGGTGGCTTGCTTTCTCACTTTCCTTCTCACTGTGTGTCTGTCTTCCTCTGGTCAAATTAAAATAAATAAATAAATTATTAAATAAAATAAATGAATAAATAAAATTAAACAATTCTTTAAAAAATAGAAATTTGGTTGTAATTGGAATTCCATGTGGGATCAGCAGATGGAGTAATAGTTATGTAACTGGACTCCCGCATAGTCAGTCATAGTTCAAGTCCTGGACTCTGTGACTCAAAACTCACACCAGGGTGTGTGTGTGTGTGTGTGTGTGTGTGTGTGTGCCCAAAATCCCAAGAGGAAAATGCAGGAGAAGGAATTGAGCTGTGGCCATTTTCCCTGGTGGTGATTTCTTTTTTTCTGTCTCTCTGGTGAGCACATGTGCTCTATAGCACGAGTCTCTCTCTTAAAAAAAATTCTGAGACCCCAGAAAAACTCAAACAGAAACCATTTAAATCTGAGGTGTGTCCTGCTGTGTTCGGGGACCAAGGTGACTAAATCTCTGCTCTAAACCCCATCTACCAGACCCCAAAAAGACTCAGGTAGAGTAACCTCTGTCCTCTCTCTGTCTCTCTCAATTTTTTTTCTGTTTAAAAAATTTTAAGTTTAATTTTATTAAACTTAATTTATTTATTTAAAATTTGATCAGAGAGGGACAGAGTGAAAGCGAGAGAGAGAGAAAGTGAGAAAGCAAGCTGCCACAGTCAGCCATGTGGGCATTCAGTTTCCTTAACCACTACACCACCTGCTGGCCCCTCTTTTTTTTTTTTTTTTTTTAATTTTTAAAATACTTCTCACCTCTGACCTCTCCTTTCACTTGCTGATTTCAGAAGCCATTTAAATCTGAGGTGTGTCCTGACGTGTATGCACTGCACGTTTTTCATTTTTTGCTTTTAAAAATTTTTTTTTCCTTTTTTGGTTGTTTCTATCTTGTTTTTAACCCCTTTATTTTCTTTTTGTTTTCCTTTTTTTTAACCTTACTTTCTCTGCTGTTCAGCCTCCACAGACTGAGTGTCTAGACAGGCCTGAGTGCACAGTAGCCAAGCATCTGAATACTTTTAGGGTCATAGAAATCCTCAACTCTTACTGAATCTGCTACCTGAAGGAAGAAACTCCTCTTTATAAACCTGAACTCAAAATCTCTGTGAATACCACGTTACAAAACATAGTAGAGGAGCAAAATTGTCACAGAAATACCTTTTAGTAAAGGGAGGCACATGATCTTATAGTTCCAGAAACCTCTAAGCAATCAGCCAAAAGTGAATACACCACCAAATGACTAAAATTCAGAGAAGAGAGACTGCGGAGTGAGCAGCAGGGAGAAGTACGGAGATGCAAAGAGAGAACAGCTCATCTCTTCCACATGCCTCTGAACTTAGTTGAAACCCTGCAGCTCAGCCCAGGTGCACCTATTCCTTAGAAACTGTGAGGCCTTTGTAATGCCAGTTCCAAAGTCAAGAGCACAGGTTGCTTGGTGAGCATCAGAGAAATGGAATTGCAGAGAGATTGTGGATGGCTTCCTCCCACACAGCTCTGAACGCTCAAATTAATTCCAAGAAATTAGGAAGAAATTTATAAACCATCAGATGACCAGAAACGCCTGCAGAGGCATAAGAAATATGAGAAACTAAGAAAATATCTCTCACTCAAGAGCAAAGAACAACTCATCATCCACAGACAGTATAATAGAACACATGGAAATGTCTGATAAAGAATTCTTAGTATTTGGGATCAGTAGTTAGTGTAATGGCTATGTTGCTGGACTCCCATGTAGTCGACCATGGTTTGAGTCCTGGACCCAGTGGCTTAAACTCACACTGGGCTCGTGTGTGTGCGTGCCCAAGATCCTGAGAGGAGAATATAAGAGAAGGGATTGCAGCATGGCCATCCCCCCTGGGGGGTGATTTCTCACTTTCTGTCTCTCTGACTCTGTCTGTCTGTCTGGTGAGCACATGCGCCCTATAGCAAAAACCTCTCCAAAAAATAAAAAAGAATTCTTAGTATTACAGTGACTAAATGAGATGCGAGAGATGAGAGACAAATTCCAGGAGGTGAGGAAGTTCTTTCACAATTTGAAAAAAGAAATATCCTCCATAAAAAAAGAATCAAACAGCTGTTAGACATGAAGGCTATAATACAGAAAATCAAAACCTTGCTTAAAAGTATTAAAAGGATATTAGACCATGTAGAAGATTGAATTTCAGATGTTGAATATGAAACCTCTGACCTAGAAAAATCACCAAAAAGACTGAGAAAATAACCCAAAATATGAGTAAAATATATGAGAAATACTGAATACCATTAAGTACCCAAACATCCGGATAATTAGTATCCCAGAAGTTGAAGAAACTAATAAGGGCATTGATAATCTATTCCATGAAATCCTAGAAGAAAATTTTCCAAACCTAGAGAGGCATTCACATTTCCAGACCCAGGAAATACAAAGGACCCCTAATAGATTCAGCTCAACGACTCAAGAAGATCTCCAAGGCACATCATAGCCAGATTAGCCAAATCCACAGACAAGAAGAGATACTAGAATTGGCAAGAGAGAAATCAGGTAACGTAGAAAAGATTATCTCATTAGGCTAATAGCAGACCTCTCCTTGGAAACAATGTGAGCAAGGAAAGAATGGGGAAAAACATTCAAATTATTAAGTGAAAAACAATTTCAACCAAGAATACTATGTCCGACAAGATTAACCTTCATATGGGAGAAAAGATAAAAACATTTCAGATAAACAAAACCTGAAAGAATTTACCAATATCAGATCAGCTCTTCAAGAAGTTCTGAAGGGATGGGACCAGCAGGTGGCATAGTGGTTAAGGTGCTGGACATTCCCACATGGTCAGCTGTGGTTGGAGTCCTGAACCTGGTAGCTTGCTTTCTCACTCCCCCCCACCCCCGTCTCTATATATCTTTCTGGTCAAATTAAAATAAATGAATAAATAAAATTAAGTAAATAACTTTAAAAAAAAAGTTCTGAAGGGAGTGTTTTACCAGGAAAACTAAAGACACAGAGAAATAAGAGAACAAAAAGCAACAAAGAAAACGACCAACTTAATGCTAGGGACAAGTCCGGAAATATCAATAATAATGTTGAATGTTAACTTCTAGGATTTAAACAGAAAGATTAGACCACAGTAACACTGCAAATTCAACAGAAGAGAGATTAATTACATGAGACTGAACTGGTGAAATAGAATTTTATGACTTGACTGAAACATTACTGATTTTTTTTACTATGCTTTGTTTTCCTGAGGATTTTGCTTTCTTTTGAGCTGTTGATAGGCTCAGCAATTTGTTAAATGGTTTTTGTCTGTTTTTTGAAATTGAAACATAAACTTTTCTCCCTTCCTGACCCTCTGGAATTAGAAAATACTTGTGAATATTCTTAATTTTGTGGCAGAAATGGTATTTACATAAGCTCAATGATATCTGTTGCCTTGCATCAGAAATTGGAAATACTCATTATTGCCAGGGTTTTGACTGGAATGTCATATCCAAAGATAAGACCAGAAAACTATGGAACTAAGGTAGATCTCACGAAAGCCAACAGAAACTCTTGGAAAGGTTGACTGGCAGTATAAAAACGTGTGAGAGAGGATTAGAGAAGCCATATGAAAGAATTTGTACCATAAAATAACCTGGACTTTTCCAGCCCAGCATTGTAATCTGTAGAGATTGCAAAAGAGCAGCCACAACCAGAGGATTACCTTAAGGAAAACTTTGAAGGTAGACAAAGAGACTGATCTTTGCTAGCAGATGGTAAACCACAGAATACTTGGTAGGCAGAGCTGAATTGGGACGGTGTGAATTACGTGCTGGGTGTGTACTTTTCAACAGTTTGAATAGTTGACATGACATTTTCTCAAAAATAGTTTAAAACCATATTGTCTCTGTTGTTATAGAATCACAAACAAAATTATAACAAATACTTTGAAAGTTATCTTTAAATTTTTTTTTTTTGAATTTTGAAAGTTGTTTATTAACTGTCAAGATCTGTGGAGTATGAGCAAAAATTTTTTGACATGTAAAGTAAATGTGAGAAAATGTAAAAAAAAATTTTTTAAAGAAATAAATAATTCCATACACTACTATAGTTTAAAAATTCATAAAGAATTTTTAATATCAGAAAATTTTGTTGTCACCTATATATTATTGACTAAAATATCTGGAAGTTCAGCAGAACACTGATGGTCTGCTTTCCAGAGCTGGTTTACAAATAGGTTTCATTTGGCCTATATAGTGCTTTAAAGTTTTTTTTTTTTTTCCCAATGTAAATGTCTTTAGTTGGAGCATATATTCTCCAAATAGTCTACAATTTGTTATAAAGCTTCATTTATTTTTATTACGGGCTTGGCCCTGTAAGACATTGAAAATAAGACTCCTGGCAGGTGACATCGACGTTAAGGTGGTAGATTCCCCCATGTCTGACTATGCAGTTTGAGTCCCAGACCTGGTGATTGGAAAATCATGCTGGGTGCATGTGTTTACATGACCAAGATCCCAAGAGAAGAATGTAGGAGAATGTATTGTGCTGTGGCCATTCCCTTGGGGGGTGTTTTTTTTTCACTTTTCCTACCTGTCTCTGGCAAGTGTACATGCCCTATAGCAAAAGAAAAAAAAAAAAAAAGACTTCAGAGAATAAGAAACATTCACAGTTAAACTGAAATACTTTTATTTTTCTCGTAATAGCTAAGTTCAACTCTATATACTGGAAATATCCCTGATGTAAGCTATTGAGTTATTGGAAAAGTCATGCATATTTTCCTGTTTTTCCATGCAAAGATGTGTCATGACTTTTCTAACAACCCAATATTATTTTAATTTTATGTATGTAATATATATTTATGTGTATATACAGAATTTTCTTTTGCTACTATACATTAATCATCTCATACTTTTCAAAATGATTGATAATCGTCATGTCTTCATGTTTATGTATCATTGGGATTACTATGACTTTAAGTGTGGTGCTTGATTTATTAGCTGTTGACTGGAGGTTTGATTGGTTAAGTCCTAGGTAAGGTCTTTAAAAAGTGTGCATTATTAAAAACTGTGGGGCTGGCCTGTGGTCTGGTGGGTAAGAGAGCCAGGTCCCCCACATGGCTGACTGACTGATTTATAGCCCAGTCCCTGTGACTTGAAAAACATGCTGGGTATGTGCGCATGTATGCCCAAATCCTGACTAATACAGAAATGGATGACATAGGATTGTGGCATGGCCACATCTCCTTGAGGTGTGATTTTTCCCTTTCCTTATGTCTCTCTCTCTGGAGATTGCAAGTGCACTCTGGCAGTTTAAAAAAAAACTGCATGGATTTTACAATTTTTTAAAGAATTATTTTATTTAACTTTCTTTCTTTATTTAAATCTTACCAAAGAGAGAGCGGGGGCGGGGGGTGGGGAAGAAAGTAAGAAAGTCTGGGACTTGAATCGCTGTTGGCCATGTAGGAGTCTAGTGCCCTTAACCACTACGCCACCTGCTGGCTGCTGGATTTTACATTTTTTTGCATCAAAATAAACTTTGACTTTATTTTTTTTTTACAAAATTTTCCATGAAAAATAAGAGTTCTCTTATACATTTTTAACCTCAGTGAATGTACAGATATTTGCTTTGTTACTTATTAAGCTATATAAATGCAATACTCTTGTGTGTATGATCTGTTTTTTAAAAATCTGTTCAATGATTGCATTATGTTTCTTTATTCCCTAAAATAAAGCAACCACAAATTTTTATGTGTAATGAAAGAAAATTAATCTCACTTGAAACTCTCATTTTCTTAATTTATTCTTAATGTAGGTAAGTAATGAAAGAGGCTTTGAAAATGTAGAACTGGGAATCATAGGAAAAAAGAAGAAAGTCCCCAGGAGAGTTATCCACTTTGTTAGTGGTGAAACGATGGAAGAATATAGCACAGATGAAGATGAAGTTGATGGCCTGGAGAAGAAAGATGTTTTACCTACTATTGATCCGGTAGGTTTTGTTTTAATTTGTTTCCTACAAATAGAAAAAAGAGACCTTTTGGGATTTAACTCATCTATATTCTGATTACAAAATTATGCATTATTATTTTGGTAGGAAATAGTATTTTTCCTAGTTTGTGTTTCAGTGTAAAGTTGACAGCATGTGCAGTTTTCTTTAAGGCACATCTGACTACGTTGAGTGCTTTGAATTAAATTTGAATCCTTTTGAATTAAGGACCATATAATGAAGAGAATTTCTATTCAAACCTTAGGAGTTGTCAGTTCTTTATTATACTACCTAAAGTTTTGATTAGAACACAGACATATATGAGTTGTTTGTGTGCCTCACCAGCTATTGGGTGGTTGGGAAAGTCATGACTTATTCTCCCATGTTTTTCTATGCAAAAATGAGTTGTGACTTTCCTGACAACACAGGAAATTTAGGAATTTCTAAATTATACAAGATATGACAATAAAATTGTGACAAACTATACTTCTAATAAAAGGAATATTACTCTTCGAAGTAGTTATTTTGAGAGTCCAGTCGATCACATATTTACTGACTTTCTAATAGGTATTGTTTTAGGTGCTGGTTGATACAGCAGTAGGCAGTATATACTTCTGCCCCTATATGCTAATGGAAAGGCAAAAAATAAACAGCCATAGACTATGATTACCAGGCTATGAAAAGTACTATGAAGAAAATAAAGCATAGTAACAGGGTAGAGAATTATTACTTTATATTTGACTTTAAAAATGTTATTACTGGGGAGCCAGCAGGTGGCGTGGTGGTTAAGGGTGCTGGACTCCCACATGGACAGCCAGGGTTTTTGAGTCCTGCACCTTGTGGCTTACTTTCTCACTTTTCCTCTCTCTCTCTCTCTCTCTCTCTCTCTGTCCCTCTCTGGTCAAACTGAAAGAAAGAAAAGAAAGAGAGAAAGAGAAAAAGAAAGAGGAAGAGAAGGAGGGAGGAATTAAAAAAAATTCTTAAAAAAAATGATAATACTGGGCCAACGGGTGGCATGAGGGTTAGGGCACTGGATCCCATGTGGTCAAATGTGTGGTCTCAGATCCAGATTCAGCAGCTTGAAAATAACACCAGACGTGTGTGCATGCATGACCAAAATTCTGAGAGGAGACCGAAGGAAAAGGGATTGTGGCATAACCATCCCCCTGAGGAGGTGATTTCTCACTTTCCCTCTCTCTGTCTTCTGTGAGTGCATGCACCTCATTGCAAAAACCTAGACCTCCAGTCTCCTCTCAATATTTTTGGCAGACATGCACATACATCTGTTGTGAATTTCAAGCTACCAGGTCTGAGACTTGAACTGTGGTTGGCCACGTGGGAGTCCAGCACCTCAACCACCCCGCCACCTGCCAACCCCAATAGCAGTTCTTGATAAGAAAGGAAAAGATGGTTATTTAATTTTTGGAGAGAAAAAATTATTTTGAGGTTTAATGCAGTGAATAAAAGGTCATGAAGACCGAAGACCTTGTCCCAATTTTGCTATTACTGGGATGGTGGTGGAGGTAGTGATGCTGACAGTGGTGGCAGGGTTCCAGTGTGAACTCTTGAACCACCTGTCTTTTTTATTCCATAAAGTCCGTATCCAGACAAAAGGACCTATAAAATCATTTTGTATGATTGTGTGGGCTAGTGATAAATTTTATTCAGTAATCTTTATTTAGTTCCCCAGTTCTAGGAAAGGTTCAGTTCTTTGGTAGTCATATCCTCTTTTTTTTTTTTTTTGGAGAGGTTTTTGCTATAGGGCGTGTATGCTCACCAGACAGACAGAGAGAGACAGAGAGACAGAAAGTGAAAAATCACCCCTCAGGGGGGATGGTCACACCGCAATCCCTTCTCCTCCATTCTCCTCTCGGGATCTTGGGCACGCAGGCACATGCGCCTGGCGTGAGTTTAAGCCGCCGGGTCCAGGACTCGAACTGCGATCGACTACGTGGGAGTCCAGTGACATAGCCATTACGCCAACTGCTGGCCCTGTCATATCCTTTTTTTAAAAGAATCTTGTTTTAAGATTTATTTTAAATTTTTATTTACTATCATTATTCTTCAATTTTGACCAGAGAGAGACAGACAGAAAGGAAGAGTGAGAAAGCAAGCCTCAAGGTCCAGGACTTGAACTGTGGTCGACCACATGGGAGTCCAGCACCTCAACCACCATGCTACCTGCTGGCCCCAGGTAGTCATACCCTTAACATTAGCAGTTATTCTCTCTGAAAACAACCTCAAGATAATGGGTCCACTGAGAAATAATATGTGTATTTTCTTCAAAGAACACCTATACTCTTTCTAAGTGGTTTCCTGGCCCTCTCATTTATTATGCATCATAGAAATTGGCACCATTTCTTATGCTTCTGCCACTATCCCATTTGCTCTAAACCATAAACTCAGAGCATCTTAATAGTCCCTAAAGTAACCCTAGTCCTACATAAGAAATCATCCTTCTATGAATATATTAGATGTAGTAGATTTGATCTAGAGAGTCAGTAATATACAGTATATCTTTGCATCTATTTATTTTCTTGTACATTCATTCTTTTTTTTTGAGAGGTTTTTGCTATAGGGCGCATGCACTCGTCGGAAAGACAGAGAGAGACAGAAAGTGAGAAATCACCCTCCAGGGGGGGATGACCACGCCGCAATCCCTTCTCCTCCATTCTTTTCTCGGGATCTTGGTCACACACGCATACACGCCCAGAGTGAGTTTAAGCCACCGGGTCCAGGACTTGAACCATGGAGTGGGAGTCCAGCGACATAGCCATTACGCTAACTGCTGGTCCCAACATTCGTTCCTGAGTAGAGACAAAGGAGTGAACTTACTTCTATGTCTTCAGGCACACCATCACAAAAATAGGCATACCTGCTTTTCATAGCAAAAATGTGTTATATATTTTCTTCTGCTTTCTCCCATCTAGTCAGTCTTAATAGTATTATTGTTCTGCCTTTTAAATGCCCGTATGCACGTTAATGTATCTTAGCTAGGATACTTGTGGTCAAGATTCTCTCTTCCCTTCCTTGGAAGCAATATTAAAACACTTATTAATGTGCTTGATTGGGCTGCCCAGTTGTGTGATGGTTAAGGTGGCTGGATCCCATGTGGTTAACTGCAGTTCAAGTTCGAGACCCATGAAAAACATGCTGGGTGTGTGTGCATGCCTAAAATCCTGAAAGAGTGAAATGGAGAAGAGATTACAGTGTGACCATCCTCTGTTGGGGAGGAGTGCTTCTCACTCGCTCTCTTTTTCTTTCTTTCTTGTAAGCACATGTGCCCTCTGGCATAATTTTTTTAAAAAAGAAAAAAAAATGTATTTGATTGATTATAGGCTCTATATTATAGATTTTATTAAATAAAAATGGTGGTATGATGAAGCATGCCTGTATTACCAGTTTCATCCTCGGGGGCAAACTATCATCTGTTTTACATGCTTCACAAAAGAAAGGGACCAGCAGTTAGCATAATGGCTATGTTGCTGAACTCCCATGTAGTTGACTGCGGTTCAAGTCCCAGACCCGATGGCTTAAACACTCCGGGCGCATGTGCGTGCGTGCCCAAGATCCCTAGAAGAGAATGGAGGAGAAGGGACTGTGGCGTGGCCATCCTCCCATTTCTCGCTTTCTTTCTCTCTGTCTCTGTCTCTCCAGCAAGCACACGCATCCTATAGCAAGAAACTCTTAAAAAAAAAAAAAAAAGAAAGAAATGAATTTAATTTTAAATTATTTAGATATCCTCCATGTCCTATAAAATGCAGAGGAAAAGGAGTTCTGTGTGCAAACTAGAAAAATCAAGGAAAGTTTCACTGAGCAGATGGAATGCTGGCCATTAATGAGAAAAGAAGTTCGTCCAAGTCAAAGAAATTATATGAGTTCTGACACTATCTGTGGAATAATAAAAACATATACAAAGAAAGAATATTTATGAGGGAAATAAGATTGACTAGCTGTGGTGAAGGTCCATCAGAAGGCATGGAAAGCAAGCAGATTTCAATGTGACACACAAAACAGGTTTCCTGAGAGATGTGCAGTGGATGTGTAGAATTACCGAACCAGGATTAACTGTGCAGGTATGCATTCTGCCGATGGTCCTAGCCTGCCAAATATACACTGAGCTTATTTTGGGTTATATGCTGTGGCTCTTTTTAATCCTTAAAGATACAAAAAAGTTATCTTGTCACTTATTTGCCCCTTATTTTCTCATAATAAGAACTCATTTGAACTGGACCCAGAGCCTAATAGCTAAGGGAAGCGAGATCTCATGTGGCTGAAGGCGGTCCAAGGACTGGGTGCAGTGGCTTGAAAACATGCCAGGCATTTGTGTGTCTGTGCCCCCAAATCCCACCAGAATGGAGAATGAAGGATTGTACCCCCTTGAGGGGTGCTTTCTTCTTCACCCCTCTGGCAATTAAAAAAACAAAACAAAACTTATTTGATATAGCCTTACTTATCCTGCTTAATTTTTTTGAACCTTAATTTACCCACAAAACGTTAAGTGTGTCAGACTCATGATTCCTTAAGGCCCTTTGTATTCATTGCACATACTCTCTGGTGGTGTGCTTAGGAACAGTGAAGATGAGAAAGCAGCAAAACAGGAGAAAGAGGGCCAGCAGTGATATGGTTGTTGAGGCTGCTGAATTCCACACAGTTTACTGCACAGTTCAAGTTCTGAATTTGGTGGCTTGAAAAATACTCCATGAGGACTAGGAGATGGTGTAATGGTTATGTCACTGGACTTCATATAGTGAACTGCAGTTTGAGTCCCAACCCAGCAGCTTAAAACTCACAGCGGGTGTATATGAGTGTGTGCCCAAAATTCCAAGAGAAGAATAGGAGAGAAAGGACTGAGGTGTGGCCATCCCCCCCTGGGGAACGAGTTCTTGCTTTCTCTCTGTCCCTCTCTCTTTCCAGCGAGAACATGTGCCCTATCACAAAAATCTCTCTACAAAACAAAAACAAGGGGCCAGCAAGTGGCATGGTGGTTAAGGTGCTAGACTCTGACATGGTTGACCATGGTTCGAGTCCCAGACCTGGCAGCTTGCTTTCTCACTTTCCATCTCTCTCTCTCTCTGGTCAAATGAAAAGATAATAATAAATAAAATTAATAATTCTTCAAAAAACAGAAAAACACTTCGTGTGTGCGTGCACGTGCATGCCCAAATCCTGAGTAGTGAATGGAAGATTGCTGTGTGGCATTCCTCTTTCACTTGCTCTCTGCTATTTCTGGTGAGCACAAGTGTCCTATAGCACATTAAAAAAAAAAAAAGACAGGAGAAAGAAAGATCCAAGATTATTAATTTGAAAATAATTCAGACTGTGATTTACCAACTCCTTTTCAGTAGCATCATTCTTTTTTTCTTCCCCCATAGGCTTAAGGTAGTGGTAGTTATATGAGTTAGTTTAACAATGTTACGGAGTTCTCTCTCAAAGAATAATATTTTTTATTGGATTGAAGTGTTTGTATTACTCCTGCAGAATATGTGCCTATCATGTAGTTTGTACTTCATTCTGGCCCCATACATAAAATGAGTTTAGGTGTGAGTATTGCTAACCTGACATTTTGTTGCAGACAAAACTTACCTGGGGCCCCTACTTATGGTTCTATATGCTTCGGGCTGCCACATCAACCCTCTCAGGTATTGCATTTTTGTTTGAATATTGTATATGCTCTAAGAATGGGAGATTTGCCAAATGGCATGTTTCCAAAATGAAGGAGAAACAATAGGGAGTTGATAACTTTGTCCTGAGTAGCTAGCTAGCTTTGGAAAATATTAACCTAACTTGTACTTGAATTAAAACATTCTCCAGCTTTCAGTTGTGTTTTTTAAAAAATGAAAAATGGCTTTATTAATTTAGATATGATTTAAATGTTCTCAAACCCTTTCTATTAGCAACTATTTTCTTTTTTGTCGTTTGATTTCCTACTGGTATTCTCATTCTGTCTCACTGCTTAGTCTGTAGTTATAGTTCATTTATATTGTTATTTCCTTTCTTACACTGACATATAACTAAGCAATACTTGAAGGAAATGAATTATCAACTTATGACTTAATCATGCTAACTTTAAATACAGCTTTTAATTCATAAAGTTTTTTTTTTCCAATTTTTTTTTCTTTAGGTTTCTGCCATAGGGTGTGTATGCTCGCCGTAGAGACAGACAGACAGACAGGGAAAAGTGAGAAATCATTCCCGAGAGGAGGATGGCCATGTCTCAATTCCTTCTCCTCCACTTTCCTCTCAGGATTTTGGGCACGTGTGCACATGTACCCATGTGATTAACAAACCACTAGGTCTAGGACTCAAACTGCAGGCAGCCATGTGGGAGTCCAGTGCCTTAACTACCATACCACCTGCTGGGCCCTTCTTCTAACTTTTAACTTACAGCTTTTTTTTTTTTGAGAGGTTTTTGCTATAAGGGCACATGTGCTCGCTAGAAAGACAGAGAGAGACAGAGAGACAGAAAGCGAGAAATCCCCCCCCAGGGGGGATGGTCAGGCCGCAATCCCTTCTCCTCCATTCTCCTCTCGGGATCTTGGGCACGCACGCACACGCGCCCGGCGTGAGTTTTAAGCCACCGGGTCCGGGACACGAACCGCGGTCGACTACATGGGAGTCCAGCGACATAGCCATTACGCTAACTGCTGGTTCCCCCTTCTTCTAACTTTTAACTTACAGCTTTTTTTTTTTTGAGAGGTTTTTGCTATAAGGGCACATGTGCTCGCTAGAAAGACAAAGAGAGACATAGAGACAGAAAGCGAGAAATCACTCCCCAGAGGGGATGGCCACACTGCAATCCCTGCTCCTCCATTCTCCTCTCGGGATCTTGGGCATGCCCGCACACGTGCCCAAAGTGAGTTTAACCCACCAGGTCCAGGACAAGAACCACAGTCGACTACATGGGAGTCCAGCGACATAGCCATTACGCCAACTCCTGGTCCCTTACAGCTTTTTATCGCTTTTGCTTTTATAGTGGCTAATTATGAATAGTAATAGATTTAACATAATTTACTGAGCACTCATCAGATATTAGACAATCTGATGTAATGGAAGAACATAGACTTTAGATTCAAACCTAGATTTGGAATTTGAATCTGTCAGGTTGGGTGAGTTGTTTAACCTCTCTAAACCTTTCGTAGTCTCTAGCACTCAGTGCATTATAGTACATGACCATTCTCCCCAGCCCAGTCATCTCTCAGTCCTCAAAGCTCATTGCATTACCTGGTGATAAGTGTTACAATAGAGATATATGAAAAGACTGTTACTGGAAATCCTAAAGGAGCCATTAGTGCATCTTTTAGAAATCAGGGAAGATATGTACAAAGAGAATACTGGGTTTTTATAATCTCCATGCCAATAGGCTTAGCTTTTTAGGTTTCTTGAGGGCAGCAGTGTAGCTGTTCTATTTTCCTGCATTGTTTTACATGTAGAAAGAAAGTGCTCAAGAAATGTTTATAGAATTGTATGAGTCTTTTAACTTTTGTATCTTTAGTGTGTGACTTTCTTGGAGAGAAGATTGCATCTGTTTTGGGCATCAGCACCCCAAAATACCAATATGCCATTGATGAGTATTACCGGATGAAGAAGGAGGTATGTGTCTTTTTTACATTTTCTTGGTTTAGTCTGGGTTGCATAATGAGCCTAAGTATATTCTTGCTGCCCAAAGATAACATCTTTATCCTGGGCATTTTATTCAAGTCATTAATTTATCAAATTAAATAAACATTTTAGAGTTCTTCTAAACTGGAATTTCCCTGTCATCTCTATGTAAAACTAAATTAGTTTTGGTAGTGTTATTGAGGTACTTTATATGCATTATTTAACCTTCACACATCTCTCTTTGGAGTATTATTCTAATTTTAAGATTAAAAAACAAGACCCAGTCTCTGTACTTAGGGTACATAGACCAGATATAGTTGGAATGGATTTGATGCACAGAAAATTGTAAGTACTAGAAATGTTTATGTGCCAGTTATTAAGGTATAAAGATATGAGGGCAGTTCTATCTGCAGAAGTAGTGAGGCCTTGAGGTGCTGGCGAAATGAATTTAGCTTTAAAGAATGATAACGATCTGGAGTTTCAAGAGCATGGGTTCAGGAGCCAAAAAGTCTAAATTCAAAACCTAGCTCTGCTACTATTTGATGTGTGACCTTGGGTGAGATACTTAACCTCCATCTTTTTTTTTTTTAATTGCCAGAAGGTGTGTGCACCAGAGAGCAACAGAGAGAAAGCACCTCCCAATGGGCATTGTCATGCTACAGTCCTTTTTTCTCCATTCCTCTTTCCTTTTAGGATCTTGGACATGTGCCTGGTGTGGTTCTTAAGCCACTGGTCTGGAAGTCAAACCATGGTCAACCATGTGGGATACAGTTCCTTCCTTTTTTTTTTTTTTTAAGATAGGATCTTGGAACTAGCAGATGGCATAATGGTTGAGTCACTAGACTCCCATGTAGTCAACTGTGGTTCAGGTCCTGGACCTGGTGGCTTAAACCTCACACTGGGTGCCTGTGTATATGTGCCCAAGATCCTGAGGGGAGAATGGAGAAGGGATTGCAATGTGGCTATCCCCCCTGGGGGATGATTACTTGCTTTCTGTCTTATCTCTCTGGCAAGCGCATGCATCCTATAGCATTAAAAAAAAAAAAAAAAGATCTCAGGGACCAGCAGATGTTGTGGTGGTTTGGGTGTTGGCCTCCTACATGGCCAAACAGTTTGAGTCCCAGACCTGACAGCTTGTTTTCTCACTTTCCCACTCTTTCTTTCTCTGGTAAATTGAAAAATAATAATGAATAAAAATTAAATAACTCTTAAAAAAATAAAGGTAGGATCTCACCATATGATGGTCCTCTTGCCTCAGCCTCCCAGCTAGGACTATAAGCATGTACCATCACTCCCATCGTTTTTTTTTTTTTAGACAAGATCTTGCTGTCTAGGATAGCCTTGGGTTGTGAGACTCTTGCTTCCACCTTTATGAGTTACTGGGATTATAGGCCATGCCAAAGGGCCCAGCCTTTTAGGTTGGAGCAGGAGTCAAATCATCAAATCCAGGCATCCCATGTGATACAAGCCATGGAGTGAGGTCTTAGCAGTGAATGCTACCACAGCTAGGCCAGTTTTCTCATCTTTAACTTTTCTATTTTTAAATTTTATTCTATTCATGACAGTGTGAGTGCACGTGCATAAGCAAGCAAGTGAGAAGCAGCTTCAGGCGGGTCTTATCATGCCATGATCCCCTTTTTCTTAGCCCTCTAGCTCATCAGGATCATGCACACACACACATGCACTGGCATGTTTCCAAGCCTACCTTGGGATCCAAACCTATGGTCGGCCATGTGGCTTCCAGCACTGCAACTCTATTTGCTAGACTGTGCCATCAGGCTGGGCCAAGTGTTGTTATCTTTATAATGAAGACTTCAATATCCATGTGCAGGGTTGCCCTACAATTAGAGTTGATATATATAATATTTAGGGCTGGCTTATAGTAAAGTGGTTAAGTGCTGTGTGGAGGGAGCTAGAGTTCACATGGCTGATTATGGTTCAAATCCTTGACTCCAGTGGTTTTAAAAACTTGCTGGGTCTGTGTGCATATGTACCCAGGATCCTTAAGGGATGAAGAAATGGAGGAAAAAGAATTGCAGGGTGATTAGATCCCATTGTAAGGTGCTTTCTCTCTCTTGTGTGTGCCCTCTGACATTAAAAAATGATAAGGATTGGGACCAACAGGTGGCATGGTGAAGGCTGTGGACACTACCACATGGCCTATCACAGTTCGAGTCCCAGACTTGGTGGCTCGCTCTCGCTCGCTCTCGCTCTCTCTCTCTCTGTGTCTTTCTGGCCAAATTAAAAAATAACTAACTAAATGAAAGAATGAATAGATTTTAACAAATAGGTACCAGCAGTAAGTGTAATAGCTATGTCGCTGGACTCCCATGTAGTCAACCGTAGTTCGAGTCCCGGACCTGGTGGCTTAAACTCATGCCTGGCACGTGTGCATGTGTGCCCAAGATCCCAAGAGGAGAATGGAGGAGAAGGGATTGTGGTGTGGCCATCCCCTCTCGGGGGGTGATTTCTCGCTTTCTGTCTCTCTGTCTTTCTGGTTAGCACACGTGCTCTATAGCAAAAACCTCTCCAAAAAAAAAATAATTTTTTTAAAAATAAATGAGAAGGACAAAAAAACTGGACCAGCCTGTGGTGTGGTGGTTAAGGTGGCTGGATCCCACATGGTCAACAGTGATTTGAGCCCCAGACCTGGCAGCTTGAGAAACATATCATGTGTTTGTGCCCAAAATCCTAAAGAAGAAATTGAGATGTGACCATTTCCCTGGGGAAGGAAAGGTGTACATTCTCACTTTACCTATGTCTCTCTTTGGCTAGTGCATGTACCTTCTGGCAAATTAAAAAAAAATATGTAGAATGCTTGAACACCACCTAGTGTTCATTGGCAAGTACATAATATTAGAATCTTTTATTCTCTTTTTTTAAAAGAATTATTTGTTTTATTTATTCATTAATTTATTTAAATTTGACCAGAGAAAATCAGACACATAGAGAGAAGGAAAGTGAGAAAGCAAGCCACCAGGTCCGGGACTCGAACCATTGTCGGCCATGTGGGGATGTTCAGTGCCTTAACCACCATGCCACCTGCTGGCCCCTAGAATCTTTTTCTTTTTGAGAGCAGCAGTTCAGGGAAAACTAGGGCATAAATGAACGAAGATACATTGTTTTAGAGGAAATGGCAAGAATAATAATTTATTGTCACTTGATCATAGGATACAATGGAGGAGTGGCTAGAGATGTCAGCTGACTTTATATTTGTTGTGTGGTTTCAAATGTGTCTTATGAAAAAAATGAATACTTTTAACACTACAAGCGTTGTTTAGAGCCTCATTACCTCATCAAGACAATGGTGATAGCCTCCTAAATGGTCTCTCTTGTTAATTTCTGCGCAAACTGCAGAGTAATCCTCCTAAGAGGTTACTTATTCTGTACTGACACCCTTACCCATACTGCAGAGTAGTGTTTGAAGGTTGGTAGTCATTTCATTCTGTTGTGGGACAGAAACTAGAATTTGTCTGTCTAGTCATGCTACCTCCTCCATTAATTTAGTAGTTCTAGAACTAGAAATTCACTTTTTCTGAATGTTTGTAACACTTATTTTTTTTGCTGCCTTAATACTGTTGGGTCATTGAAAAACTCATGATGTATTTTTCTATACAAAAACGTGTTATAACTTTTCTGAATAACCAATATTTTCACAAGTCCTAACTTCTCTACTAGATTGTAAACTTGAGAGCAAGGACTACCTCATATGTATATTACATATTTAAAGGAAAACTAACAATGTTACATCATGTGTATGAACTGGCCTATTCAACTGAACAGGCTGACACGCTAATTTAAAGTGATACAGTATTACCTAACTTTTTGTTTAGGCTTAATCTGAGAGAAATATAGCCCATATCAAAGTTTGTTCAGGTCTCATCTAAGCTAAGTTGTGCTGGATCATGTTTTAAGACTACCTTCACCTTTCTTAAAATATTTTACAACAGTCATTTATTTTGGGAAGAGTTAGGGAAGGGGAGGTATGTCTTAATAAACGATCTAACTGAATTGGTATGACACTAAAGTTATGGTTTAAATAAAAAAAATCTGGGCATCTTGGTGCATGCTTATAATCCAAGCTACTCTGGAGGCTGAGGTAAGGGGGTCATGAGTTCAAAGCCAACCTGGGCAACACAGCAAGGTCCTGTCTCCAAAACAAACAATGACAAGACCTAAGAAGTCCACAGTAGGTAAGAAAATACTATTCCTTTGGATGTTTATATTTCAACTATTCTTGACATTTCCCTTTTATTAGGAAGAAGAAGAAGAAGAAGAGAATAGGATGTCTGAAGAAGCGGAAAGACAGTTCCAACAGAATAAGCTGCAGGCTGATTCCCTTGTTCAGACAGATCAACCTGAAACAGTGGTTTCCACTTCATTTGTGAATCTCAACTTTGAAATGGAGGGAGAAAGTGAAATAATTATGGAAAACAAACAAAACCTAGTCTCTGTCCCACCATAGAATGAAATGACTGCCAACCTTCAAACCCTATGGTGTTTTTTAATAACAGGAACTTTCACATTCTTCACTCAGTGGAAATAATAGTTATTTATATTTTAAGTTATTAAATTATCTGGGAAGGAAAAATATTTCATTTGTAGGCTATATCTAGCAAAAGCCAGATCTGAAATTTGAATATCTGTAATATGCTTTGTGTATCAAATCAGTGCTTTGGTTTTGAAATGATCTTTAAAAGTTGAGATTCTAGAACCTTAATTGCCAGTTAAGAAGAGTTAAACTGTCAATCTTATCCATTATTTGTACATTTGCTTTAAAAAAACAAAACAAAACAGAAAGGTGATTTGCTGATGAAGGCTAACTGGAACTGTTAACCTGGATTAAAATGAAGATTTTTCCCCCTAGACTTTCTCATGCTATGCCTTGCATTTATATATCTAACCATTAATTTCACATTAAAGGTGGTTCAGAGTGTAATAAAAGGAGCAAGATGGAAGCACTTTGAATTTTCTTTCATTGGGAATAAGTTTATAACACCAAATACTATATGAGTTTCATAATGCAAATTACTGTTATAAATTATTTTTTAGTGTAGTTATTAAAATTAAATAACTAGCTTTGAGCATGTTAAAAATGCTAGTTATGGAATGAATTTATAAATAATGTATTTGTATTCATGCGTAATAATACCTAGTGATTACCCACATGGCATTCTGGTTATGTCACTTACTTAGACCTTCATGCTTCTCATAGGCAAAGGAGGTGTGAGGTAGGGAATCAAGGGAGAGGAGCTAATTTAACCCATCAGGAGCTGTTAAACATTGCATAAAGTGAAGTGGTGGCTAATGAAGCTACCTATAATTCACCATCTGAAGTAGCAACAGTAAGGTGGAAAGTTTATCTGGATTATTGATAGCTGGCTGTTTCTCTACCCTATCAGGTTATTTGGAAATCTTACAAAGATTAAATATAAAGCTAATTTTGAAAATATTCCTAAATTGTATACAGAATCTGTTATCTGTAGGAGTTTGACTTATAACTAGATGTGGGTAAGGAAGAAAGTGTGGAGTGTCTCAGAAATACTGATCTTAAAAAGCCTTTCACAAAATTGGGCCAGTAGGTGGCATGGTGGTCAAGGCACTGGATTCCCACATGGATGACCACGGTTTTAGTCCCAAACCTGGAGTCTTGAAAATCAGCCAGTGTGTGCACGTGTGGCCCAAAATCCTGAGAGAAGACTGGAGGAGATGGGATTGGGGCATAGTCATCCCCCTGGTGGGTGAGCTCTCACTCCCTTCTCTTTGTCTCTCTCTAGTAAGCACATGTGCTGTATGGCAAAAAAAACAAAGCAAAAAAACCTTAAAAAAAAAAATCTTCACAAACTTAGATCTTTTGGAGATTAATGGTTATGCTGATAGCCATCTAAACAGGATTAAGCATTCAATCTTAAATATTCATTATATAAAGTAATAGCTTCAAAAAAATTTGTAACATAGGTACAGTGAGCCTATTATGGAAATCTATCATCAATGAATGTGAACTAAGTTCTTCAACTGAAATTTGAAGAATTTAGGAAGGGTAATTAAACTCATTTGGAGTGTTCAGTTATTTGGTACTGGTGTATCACAATATGTGATGGTAATGTTTTTATTCACTGATATAGACTTCATGTAATTTAGTGCTTAAAGGATTAATCTTTGGATTATATGGTTACCATAAATTAGTTTACCATAGCTCTAAAACATGCTTACCTGATCTCTTCCCCACAGTTTGTTTTTTAAAACCTCATTTGTGGTAGTACCTCCAACTCTGATATTTATTTGGTCATCAAGTGAAAGAAGGTATATCTAAAGGTAATCTTCTGTCTTCCTTCTCTAGCGGCACTAGTATCAAAATAGTTTACACACTTTTCTGACTGTTGTAAAAAGAAGACAGTGACATAAAAGTTTCATTTCTTGAATTTTACTTTTGCTATTTGTCCAATAGTGGCCAGTTTGTAATGTTTATAAATAAATTTACTGTGCCTTAAATTTTTATACTTTTGTTTATGCAAACTCTAAAATTTCCCACAAATGCATTAAATGGTTTATCTTATTTTAAGCCTCTTTCACTTTTCTTATTTCCTTTTCAACCCTTTTAAGAATTATTTTTCCCTCTAGACTATAATTCATGATAAGCTACCTGCTTCTAGTCTTTTGGCTCCAAAAAACTAAACACAGCAGTATAAATGGAGACACTTTACACTGAATAACATAAATTCTCCAACAAATTCCTTAAGAAAATAGAGTTTTTAAAGTGTAACTCTGATGTTGGCTTATAAAGTTAAACCAATTTTTTTATAACAATGATTTCAAGGAAAGTAAAATATTAATTTGAATACTTTTTATTAAAACATCCCAAGAGAAACTCTTTCAAATATTCAAATTCTGAATGACTAATATAAAAAACAGTCCATGAAAACTTCCTTTACCTTTAAAGATTACATAAACTGAACACTTTCATCAAACATCAAATCACAAAGGTTCATTTTGAACTAAATGGAACAAGAACTTAACCATCTCCTCAGAAGCAATATTTGGTCCTACTGCTTCCATACTGTCACAACCAAAATACCAGGAACCAAAACATATGCTGTGATCTATAGGCATATGAAGTGTTTATTTAGACCATTTCTAAGGATTCTGCTTCAAAGGTTTTGCATGTACCACTGCACCATACATTAATGAAGACAGTCTAGTCTTTTCAAAGATCATGTGTCATCAAGGTCTGCAGAGTTTTCATTGTCATTTGCAACAAGGGCTTCTCTGTTCTCATATGTCCAGAAGCCATTCAGATCAATTAGAATGGTGGTAACTGTGTCACCTTGATTACTATTGATTAAATCTTGAAGAGAGATTTTCAGAGGATCCTTTGGTTTTACCATGTCAAAGATTTCATCCTACAAGACAAGAAAATACAGTGAAATCGAGTTCACTTAATTTCTATCAAACAGTGATCTAAAGTCCAAGGCTACCACTTGAGCGTATGTAAAAATTTTTGTTTTGTTTTTCCATTAAATAAAAGTAATTTTCTTTTCCCTATCTACAAACACAGAGTTTCACTCAAATATTCCTCAGCAATGTTATAGCTATCTTTAATTTTATAGATGAAGAAACTAAGCTTTGGAATCTAATGTAATTAAAGCCAAATCTTTACTTAGGGCAGAACTATCTAATGCAGTGTTCTTTTAATACTTAATAAGCCTTATATTAGGTTGTCGGAAAAGTCTGCTGATTTCTAATTGGTGGCGAAAAAAGGTCTTTAACTTTTTTAACCTAAAAGCTCAGTTAACAAATGACACTAAATTGTGTTAAAATTTACTGGGAAAGATAGAACCTCTTCTATATTATAAAGTATATAATATAAATATTTGCAAGGAATTAGTTCATGTTTTCTCATCTTTTTGCAGTAAAATTTCTCAGTAGTAGCTCAGCCCTGTGCTGTAGCAACTGAGTACTGTGCATGGGGGGCTGGATCCCACATTGCTGACAGTGGTTCTAATTCTGCCTCTGGCAGCTGGAAAAACTCACTGGATGTGTATGTGTACATGCCCCAAATCCTGACTGGATGGATGGATGGAGAAATGGAAGAAAAGGGCCTGTGGTGTGATTATGCCCTGTTGTGGAGTGGGGTGTCATTTCTCTTGTCTCTCCCTGACCAGTGCACACACCCTCTGGCTGTTAAAAAGAAAAAAACAACAACAACAAAAAAAACCAAAAAAACCCTGAGTAACATATGTCATCATTTAAGAGGGCACAAATTACACTTTTAGGAGGCCAATGCCTTATCCATTAAGCAAATAGGGCTTCTAGCACATTACGTTTTAAAAAATAGTAGTACAGTGGTTAAGGCAGCTGGATTCCACATGGCTGACTTTAGAGTTTGAGTCCCTGCAGCTTGAAAAACATACCAGGCATGTATGTGTGTATGCCCAAAATCCTGAGAGAGGAATGGAGAAGGACTGTGGCATGGCCATATCCTCTGGGGGGTCAATGATTTCTCCCTTTCCCTCTGTCTTTCTCTGGCAAGCGAACACATACTATAGCAAAAACTTAAATAAGGTGAACAAGGTACATAAATGAAATGTATAAACTTTTAATCCTACATGTTTGTAAAATATCCTTTCTAGATTTGTTGAAGTTCTTAAATCTTCTATTACAGAGTTTCAAATTTGTCTAATTTTACATTAAACCAGAATAGCCCTTTATTGTTGGTTTAAACTGGTCAGGCGATTTTACTATATTATTTAAGCTGAACTGAAATTGCACTGGATACTGAATGTTTTTTTCATAGGTGGTGAGTCTGATTACTAAAATGCTAAATAGTAGCATGTGTTTCAAATAGTAGTGGTTCTCATATTATAGGACTTACATTGCCATAACCTGATAAAATAAATGTGAAAGCGGGACCAGCACTTAGTGTAATGGCTATGTCGCTGGACTCCCACGTAGTCGACCGCGGTTCGCGGCCCAGACCCGGTGGCTTAAACTCACACTGGGCGTGTGTGCGTGTGTGCCCAAGATCCCGAGAGGAGAATGGAGGAGAAGGGATTGCGGCGTAGCCATCCCTCCTGGGGGGTGATTTCTTACTTTCTATCTCTCTGTCTCTGGCAAGCGCACACGCCCTATAGCAAAAACCTCTCCAAAAAAAAGAAAAGTGAAAGCAAGTAGCTCTTTCAGGTAGCAGCGAGTATCCAAACCTAAGTAGTTCTCAGTTAAAAATTTAGTCTGCAGTGGAACAGATTGCTAAAGGATGAGGCTACACTAATTCTCTTAATTTTCAATTAAAATGAGTGAATGCTTCCAATAAGAACACATGGCTGACAACACTAAGATTACAAACAACATAAATCAATTATTAATTGAAATGTAGTCTCAGTTTCTGACAATTTAAAAATCAATTCAGGGGTGGCTCTGCAGCCGAGTAGTTAAAAGAACCAGATTTTACATGGCTGACCATGGTTTGGATTCTGGGCCCGGTGGCTTGAAAAATACATTGAGGGATGGGGCAGCAGGTGGTGTGGTGGTTGGAATGCTGGACTCCCACATGACTGTGGTTCAAGTCCTGGACCTGATTACTTACTTACTTATTCTCCCCCCACATACTCTGTCTCTCTTTGGTCAAATTAAAAATAATAATAATAAGTAAGATTAAATAATTCTATAAGAAACCAAAAAAACAGAAAACATTGGGGATATGCATGTGCACATTCCAAGACCCAACAGGATAAAGAAATGGAGAAAGAGATTGCAGTTGACCAAACCTGACTAGGGAATACTCTTTCCTCTCACCTCCTGTCTCTGGCAATTAAAAAACAAATCAGTTCACAACAAAAAATAGCAAATACCTGATCTGCTATAGTACTTCATAGTTCCTAAATTGATAATCTCATAAAATTTCATGCTATAAAAATGATTACCTAGCATTACTATGGTAATATTATATAAATTAAAAGGTAACCTTGACATCTTGAAATGAAACAGGATCTTGTCCATGGATTTTCATTAGTTCTTGTATGGCCTGTATTTAGTGGAAATAAATCTGTAAATAAAAAATGACATACACAACGTCCTTCCACCTGCCCCTCAGCCTCTTTCTAGTTCCACTTCCTTTCCTATCAGACCACAGGCCTGACTTCCTTAGTCTTGCTCCAGGTCTAGTTGTCAGAACCTAAACACTGGATCAGTGTAACCATTAACTTTTCTAGTCCTGTACCTTAACTTTGATAATTTCAGGAAAAAATCTGAAGGATTTACAGATTGCTACTAATACATAGGAATATTCTCCAGCCTCAAATGGACCCTCGACATGGCCTAACATTTATTCTATTATGATCTATTCCTCTCATTTCCAAGAATGCCACTGATAACCTTACCATTTAAAAGCCACCCCCACTTCCTGACTAAGCACTTCCCATCCCACCCTATATTTTGCCTTACTTAAAAGATAAAAATGGAGAAAGATATCCTTCAAACTCTTCTCTTTTATAAACTTTTACAAAAGAAATGACTGAAGAAACTGCTGTCACCTAGTTAGACTGAAAAAAAAAAGGGCAAAAGTCATTTACTAGGGTGAGGTCAGCAAGTGGTATAGTGGTTTTAAGGTACTGGACTCCCACATGGTTAACATGGAGTCAAAATCACACAGGGCACGTGTGCACACGTGCCCAAAATCCTGAGAGGAGAATGTAGGAGAAGGGATTGCAGCCATCCCCCTTAAGGGGTGATTTTTTACTTTCTCTCTCTCTGCCTCTGTCTTTCTCTACAGTGAGCACATGTGCCCCATGAGGAACTAAAAAAAGAAAAAAAGGTCATTTACTGGGAAATACAAGTCTTGGTAAATATTCATCTATGTATGTTCCAAATACCCACTCTGTACGTGTTAACCTCTGGTATCAGAGTATCCACAGGGAATCTCTTGGAAGTATAAGAATCTGAGTACCTTCTCAGTTAATATACTGAGCTGTTGGAAAAGTTATGATGCATTTTCACACAGAAAACCATAGGAAAAACTAAGTCATGACTTTCCTGACCATCCCAGAGTGGCAGACTGGGTAATGTCTAGAAAACACCATCCAAGCCCAGGTTTCTCACTGGAATATTAATGCATACAGGCTCTACAAACAGCTCAGGAATACAAGCTCAGTACTAAAAATGTTTTACATTAGCCCACAAAATCAAGCCTACATAAACTTTGATAAAATAGGTGCACATCTGCAATATTTAAACGTATTTTTAGGGACCAGCAGATAGCATAATGGTTATGTCACTGGACTCGCACATGGTCGACTACAGTTCGAGTCCCGGACCCAGTGGCTTGAAACTCATGCCAGTCGCATGTGCATACATGCCCAAAATACTAAGAGGAAAATGGAGAAGGGATTGTGGCATGATCATCCCCTCTGGGGAGTGATTTTCACTTTCTGTCTCTCTGTCTCTCTCTGTCTCTTTGGTGAGCACATGTGCCCTATAGGAAAAACAACACAAAAAATATTTTTAAGTGTAGAAATAATGTACAGAAATCTATGAAAAAGTGTTTAACTTTCAAAGGATCAATCTATTTTTCTACAACTGAATTTTCATTTAATAGACTTATCTAAAATAGGGGCATCCCTATAATGAGTTGCTGGTGTTTTTTAATCTTCTCAAGTTAGCCACTGATTTAAGCCCACACAGCATTCAGTTTTTTAAATGTGTTCTAATATTTAGATTGAAATTTATCCTCCCTGGGGCCAGCAGGTGGCACAGTGGTTGAGGTACTAGACTCCCACATGGTGGACTGTAGTTTGAGTCCTAGACCCAGTGGCGTGAAACTCATGCCAGTAGTGTGTACATGCATGCTCCAAATCCCGTGGGGAGAGTGAAAAAGGGTCTGTGGTGTGGCCATCCCTCCTAGGGAGTGATTTCTCACTTTTTCTCTGTCTCTCCAATGAGCACACGCTCCCAATAGCAAAAATCTCTCAAAAAAAGAAAAATTTACCCTAATATTTGCAGTTATTACTGCTTTAAAAATTATAATAGAAAATCCTTTAGGGAATTTGACATGAATTAAAAAATTATGGAAGATCTTTTAGGGAATTGACATGAATTATGAAATATATACTATGAAACTAAAGAATGAATCCAAAAGTTAGATAAATTACTCAGGGGCCAAATAGTGGCCATAATTCTTATTGCTTAAAAAACATTTTTGGGGGGGAACCAGCAGTTAGTGTAATGGCTATGTCGCTGGACTCCGCGGTTCGCGTCCCGGACCCGGTGGCTTAAAACTCACGCCGGGCGCATGTGTGTGCGTGCCCAAGATCCCGAGAGGAGAATGGAGAAGGGACTGCAGCGTGACCATCCCCTCTTGGGGGTGATTTCTCACTTTCTGTCTCTCTGTCTGTCTCTGTCTGGCGAGCGCAGGCACCCTATAGCAAAAACCTCTCCAAAAATAAAAGAAAAAAAGAAAAAACATTTTTTGGGGAACCAGCAGTTAGCGTAATGGCTATGTCGCTGGACTCCCATGTAGTCGACCGTGGTTCGCGTCCCGGACCTGGTGGCTTAAAACTCACGCTGGGTGCGTATGCGTGCGTGCCCAAGATCCCGAGAGGAGAATAGAGGAGAAGGGACTGCGGTGTGACCATCCCCCCTGGGGGGTGATTTCTCGTTTTCTGTCTCTCTCTGTCTGTCTGGCAAGCGCACGCGCCCTATAGCAAAAAAACCTCTCCAAAAAAAAAAATTTTTTTTTTCCTGCTTTTGAATTTGACCATATTAAAATCACTTGGTCTTCAGCCCACCCCCATAGCCCTGTGATTAATGGAGCTAAATCCTACCTTGCTGGCTTGAACAACATGATAGGTACATATGTATATGTGCCCCAAATCTCAACAGTTTAGAAAAATGGAGAAGTGATTGTGGTGTAACCACACCCCATTAGAGGGTGCTTCTTCTATCTCACATGCACATGCCCTTTGGTAAATTTTTAAAAAGAAAAAAAAATGATGGAGTAGAATACTATTCCATCAAATGAAAAAGTTACAATAAAATGATGGACTTATTTGTCTAAAAAGGACAGACTTTCCTACTTTTATATCTATTGCATCTGAATGTTTATTAGATAGGAATTCCACTTCAGAGCTCATTATGTTATACTCTGAGAACAATTAAGGCACAAAATAAGTGCTTCAGCAAACCTATTTCACACTAAAATGAAGAATACCATTCTGCCCAGTTTAAAAGGTTTTTGTTTTTATTTTTTTATTTTTATTTTTTTACAACACAACAAGTAAAAGAATCTACAACTTACCAGAGTATAAAACTTCTGTGGAAAATGTCCAGTTTTTCAGAATTGTTTAATTAAAGCTTAGGATTTTATACACTAATTTTTGATCAATGAGAGTACGAATTTTTCATGTGCATTTGTATCTCCAGTGGCTAATACATCCCTGACATTACACAATTTTTTAGCATTCCACATCTAATCAACTCAGCTTAGATTTGGCACATTTATATTTCTTAAAAAACAGAGGAAGAAAAACTGTTAAAGGCAGACTTGATTTCCTTCTGAAATCTGTTATGTAGACCTATTGTTAAACTTTAAGGTAACAAGTTAGGTAAAGGTGTCATCGAATGGTATAACATATCTTAAGGAGAAAAGACTCATTAATGCAAAACTTACCCTAAAGAAATAATTAAGGGAAAAGACATTCAGATATCCCTTGTTCTCAATATCAAGAAGTTTGAAAATATACTGTAGAGCTGCAGGTTCCTTTCTGTTTTCTAGTGCAAGAACAAAGTCCAAGTAGGTCTTATAATCCTATGGAAAAAAGACAATGAAATTCATTAGAGGCCATCACTTAAAGTAACTTCTCAAGTAAATACCTGATGATTTGAAGCTATTTTGCAATCAAAGGTGGCATTTTTTTTTTCTTACTATAAAATGAGGAAGCCATTTGTACACTTAATTTTGCCTTATAGAAACTATGTAGGAGTTAATCTATATAGGTCTGGGGACACAGTGCATTTTCTTATGAGAATTTTGCTGTGTTAAACCCTAATTTTCCTGGGAACCAGCAGTTAGCGTAATGGCTATGTCGCTGGACTCCCACATAGTTGACTGCGGTTTGCGTCCCGGACCCGGTGGCTTAAAACTCACGTCGGGTGTGTGTGCGTGCGTGCCCAAGATCCCGAGAGGAGAATGGAGGAGAAGGGATTGCGGCGTGACCATCCTCCCTGGGGGGTGATTTCTCGCTTTCTGTCTCTATGTCTCTCTCTGTCTGGTGAGCACACGCGCCCTATAGTGAAAAACCTCTAAAAAAAAAACAAAAAACAAAAACAAAACGCCTAATTTTCTTTCTCCAGACTTTTGAAATAGAAAAGATATTGACTAAGCTGCCATTCATTGTCACCAATTTTATATCTTCCTTTCAGTGTGGTGGTTATTACTTTGCTAGAGAGAACTTGTACCTGCCAGAGAGCCAGAAAGAAAGAGAATGAGAAATAGCATGCCCTCTCCACCATGGGGGGGATAGCCACAGAGCAATCTCTTCTTCATTTCTCCTTTACATAGTTTGGACACACATACACCTGGCATGTTTTTCAAACTACTGGGTCGTGGACTCAAAGTACACAGTTGGCACTTTAGTTTCTAGCTGCCTTAAACCACACTATCAGCTGACTCTATTATTATTATTTTCTAATTTGTCTGAGGGTGCATGCACTTGCAGGGGACGGGGGCAGGAGGAAGAGGGAAAATACCTTCTACAGAGCACATCACATCACAATTCCTTCCCTTTTCTCCACCTGTTTGGGATTTGGAGTGTGCATGTATATGTACCCAGCATGTTTTTCTTTTTCTTAAAAAAAGAATGATTTAACTTTATTTTTATTCATTTATTTTAATTTGACCAGAGAAGGACAGAGTGAGAAAGACAAAAAGAAAAAAAGTGAGAAAGCAAGCCACCAGGTCTAGGACTCGAACCGCAGTCGACTATGTGGGAGTCTGGCGCCCTTAACCACCATGCCACCTGCTGGCCACTCCACCATGTTTTTCAAGCTGCCAGTTCCAGGACTCAAACTACATGGTAGTGATGTGGGATCCAGCTCCCCTAAACACCAGGCCATGGGTTGGCCCCAGTATGGTTATTTTTTCTAAAAATTTTACCTGGAATGAATAGAAGGATGTATTTAAACTGTTATTTTGAAATAGTACTTACAATTTTTTAATTAGGTGATTTCTAATAAGTTGTCATGAGACCGCCAGATAGTCTACTGTTAACTGAAACTGTTCTTTTCCCAAAAAAAGGCAAAATACAAATGAAAACTAGAATGACAAGAAGAAAACAGAAAGCTTTCTCTATGAAAAACAAACACTGAAGAGGTTACTTTTTCTACGTGGTGAATAGAATACTTGGGAGATGCTGAGAAAATAATTTTATATCTTGGAAAAGAATCTGTAGACCAAGATTAAGAATTTCTTTCTCGGGCTAGCAGGTGGCACGGTAGTTAAGCCAATGAACTCCCACATTGTTGACCATTGTTTCAGTCCTGGATCTGGTGGTATTAAACTCATGCCAGGCAGATGTGTGTGCATGCCCAAATCCTGAGAAGAGAATGGAGGCATGATTATCCCTCTGGGGATGATTTCTCATTTTCTGTCTCTCCAGTGAGTGCACAAACTCTGTAGGAAAAAAAAAAAAAACAAAAAAAAACTCTCTTAAAAAATAAATAAATAAAAATAATTTCTTTCTGCATAAATTGAAGTATAAAGAGTTAAAAAAAAATATGCAGCTTCAGGACCAGCAGATGGCCTAATGGTTACACTGCTGGACTCCCACATGACTGACTGCAGTTCATGTCTCGAAACCAGCAGCTTGAAACTCATGCTGGGCACATGTGTGTATGTGCCCAAGATCCCAGGAGAAGAACAGAGAAGGGATTGAGGTGTGGCCATCTCCCCTGGGGATGATTTCTCACTTTCCCTCTCACTGTTTCTCTTTCTCTCTCTGTCTTTCTCTTGTGAGCCCATGTGCCCTAAGGCAAAAACCTCTAAAAGAAAAAAGAAATGCAGCTTCATCATGGTCTAATTCCGTCCATAGTTATGACCTTTTTTTTTTTTTTTTTTCACCATAAGTTATTTTTCTACTAAAAGTTCCTCATGGGCTACTGTCAATAGCTTTGAGAGTTACAAAATAGATTCTTGCATCTTCTCTTCCCTTTTCCTTTACTGGTGGTTAACACTGGTGTTATTTAACAAATTGCTATTAATGCTAAATTACACAATGTAAAACCCCATTCTCTTCTGACTATATGACTATTTCTTCAGCATTGTTAGCTTGCAAAGTTTATCAGATTTTTAACACACATTTTAAATATAGAAATGGTGATTTTATCAAGTATTTTGTATTACTGGGATAAAAAGACAACTGTATATTAGCTTTAGCTGCTTAGTTACTTATACAAGATTAAAACAACCCTGGGGCCGGCAGGTGGTGTGATAGATAAAGGCACTGGATTCCCATATGGCCAACTGCAGCCTGAGTCCTGGACCTGGTGGCTTGTTTTCTTGCTTTCCCTTTCTCTCTCTCTTCTGTCTGGTCAAATTATAATAATAATAATAACAAATGGAATTAAATAAATAAATAATTCTTTAAAAAAAAAGATTAAAACAACCCAGTTCTCAGATTTAAATCATGACATATGTGGTACTGTATCTAACATGGTAATTTAATGACTGAAATACCTATAAGCAGTCCACTCTCCGATATAGTAAGTGCACTGACAATGAAATGGATAAAAGTTTCTATTTTCTATTTGCCCTGAGCACATAAGGGAAGTGTTTTTAACTGAATTTATCTTAGGACCAAAAGTTCCAAATCTCAAGTAATTTGACTGATGTATATTTTTAAAGATACCATTACACATTTATATATAATGTGTATCACCTCAAGAAAAGGGCTTGGGACCAGCAGTTGACATAATGGCTTTGTCACTGAATTCCCATGTAGTCGACCGCAGTTCGAGTCCTGGGCCTGGTGGCTTAAACTCAGACCAGGTGCGTCTGTGTGCATGCTCAAGATCCCAAGAGAAGAATGGAGAAGAAGGGATTGCGGTGTGGCCACCCCCCCCGGGGGGGATTTCTCGCTTTCTGTCTCCTATTAAGAATTTCTTTCTCGGGCTAGCAGGTGGCACGGTAGTTAAGCCAATGAACTCCCACATTGTTGACCATTGTTTCAGTCCTGGATCTGGTGGTATTAAACTCATGCCAGGCAGATGTGTGTGCATGCCCAAATCCTGAGAAGAGAATGGAGGCATGATTATCCCTCTGGGGATGATTTCTCATTTTCTGTCTCTCCAGTGAGTGCACAAACTCTGTTGGAAAAAAAAAAAAAAAAAAAAACAACTCTCTTAAAAAATAAATAAATAAAAATAATTTCTTTCTGCATAAATTGAAGTATAAAGAGTTAAAAAAAAATATGCAGCTTCAGGACCAGCAGATGGCCTAATGGTTACACTGCTGGACTCCCACATGACTGACTGCAGTTCATGTCTCGAAACCAGCAGCTTGAAACTCATGCTGGGCACATGTGTGTATGTGCCCAAGATCCCAGGAGAAGAACAGAGAAGGGATTGAGGTGTGGCCATCTCCCCTGGGGATGATTTCTCACTTTCCCTCTCACTGTTTCTCTTTCTCTCTCTGTCTTTCTCTTGTGAGCCCATGTGCCCTAAGGCAAAAACCTCTAAAAGAAAAAAGAAATGCAGCTTCATCATGGTCTAATTCCGTCCATAGTTATGACCTTTTTTTTTTTTTTTTTTCACCATAAGTTATTCGTCTACTAAAAGTTCCTCATGGGCTACTGTCAATAGCTTTGAGAGTTACAAAATAGATTCTTGCATCTTCTCTTCCCTTTTCCTTTACTGGTGGTTAACACTGGTGTTATTTAACAAATTGCTATTAATGCTAAATTACACAATGTAAAACCCCATTCTCTTCTGACTATATGACTATTTCTTCAGCATTGTTAGCTTGCAAAGTTTATCAGATTTTTAACACACATTTTAAATATAGAAATGGTGATTTTATCAAGTATTTTGTATTACTGGGATAAAAAGACAACTGTATATTAGCTTTAGCTGCTTAGTTACTTATACAAGATTGAAACAACCCTGGGGCCGGCAGGTGGTGTGATAGATAAAGGCACTGGATTCCCATATGGCCAACTGCAGCCTGAGTCCTGGACCTGGTGGCTTGTTTTCTTGCTTTCCCTTTCTCTCTCTCTTCTGTCTGGTCAAATTATAATAATAATAATAACAAATGGAATTAAATAAATAAATAATTCTTTAAAAAAAAAGATTAAAACAACCCAGTTCTCAGATTTAAATCATAACATATGTGGTACTGTATCTAACATGGTAATTTAATGACTGAAATACCTATAAGCAGTCCACTCTCCGATATAGTAAGTGCACTGACAATGAAATGGATAAAAGTTTCTATTTTCTATTTGCCCTGAGCACATAAGGGAAGTGTTTTTAACTGAATTTATCTTAGGACCAAAAGTTCCAAATCTCAAGTAATTTGACTGATGTATATTTTTAAAGATACCATTACACATTTATATATAATGTGTATCACCTCAAGAAAAGGGCTTGGGACCAGCAGTTGACATAATGGCTTTGTCACTGAATTCCCATGTAGTCGACCGCAGTTCGAGTCCTGGGCCTGGTGGCTTAAACTCAGACCAGGTGCGTCTGTGTGCATGCTCAAGATCCCAAGAGAAGAATGGAGAAGGGATCGTGGCATGGCCATCCCCCCAGCAGGTGATTTCTCGCTTTCTATCTATCTCTGTCTTTCTGGCGAGCGCACACACCCTATAGCAAAAACTTCTCCAAAAGAAAGAAAGAAAAGGGCTTGTGGAACCTGCAGGAGCCTACATTTTAAAAAAGTATCAGCAGACTTAAACTACTACCATTTCTCCATCATAAGTGAGACACTCCTGGAAAACACGATCTAAGAAGACGTTCGTCATGGTTGCTGTTCCATAGCGGGAGAGTTCTTCTTTACTTAGCATGCCATTGTGATCCTTATCAAGATTCAAATACTGGCCTTGGGAAGAAAGATAATAAAAAGATATTTATGAACAAAATAAAATTTTAATTAAAAGACAAAAGAATAGGCAGTAACAAAGTTATTTTTATTGGTTAATATTTTGACTTCAGGGTCAACAAGTGGTGCAGAAACTATGATGGCTGGGTCCTTTGTGGTTCAAGTCCCAGACCTGGCAGCTTAGAAAAACATGCTAGGTGTATATGTGCATGTGTGCCCAAGAAGAGTATGGAAAAGGGACTGTGGCATCGCTATCCCCCTTGTGGATGATTTCTCATTTTCCTTCCATCTCCGGTGAGCACATGTACCCTATAGCAAACTGGAAAAAAAAAAATTTTTTTTTTCTTTCAAGCTAATTATGTTACACTTAGTGTAGTGGCCTTTGTATAGTAATATCAGCTATCTTTTGCAGTCTTGTTCAGAACAACTGTTAAGCTAGAAAAAGGCAAAGTAAACCTATCATGAAGGCCATGGCCTTTGGATTATTTCAATTGCATCATTTGCTTTCAGTTTACAACCTTTTAGAATAACCTATGTTTCTAAATTAGATGGAGGTAGGGTGAACAAAAAATACTGAAATGCTTACACTTGAAAGCAGAGGTTGGGCCTAGGCAGTGGCACAATGGTAATACAACTGAACCCACATGGGGATGGTCTTACATTCACATCCTGGGCCCTCCCTGAGCATACTGTGCAAAAATGTGAGTCCTTGTGATCTGGACTGGCTGAGATTGGGGGTGGAACATGGTATGAAGACCCTGCTGGAGGTCTTGGTTTCTTTCTTTCTCATGGAAAAAATTAACTTTAAGTATTAACAGTATGAAGAAAGAAAGTAAGTATCAAGAAACAAAGTAGGTATCACCTTTCTGTGTAGATTCTGAGAATAGCATTTTATTTTTTAAAAGATTTATTTTTTATTTATTACTTTTTTTTTAGAATTATTTAACTTCATTCATTCATTTATTTATTTCAATTCAGCCAGAGAAGGACAGAGTGAGAGAGTGAGAGTGAGAGAGGGGGGGGGGGAGTGAGAAAGCAAGCTGCAAGGTCTGGGACTCAAACCATGATCGGCCATACTGGAATCCAGTGCCCTTAACCACACCTGACCTGCTGGCCTGTATTATTATTACATTTTAATTTGACCAGAGAGAGAAAGGGATGGTAAGAAAGTAAGAAAGCAAGCTGCCAGGTCAAGAACTCAACTGTGGCTGGCCATGTGGATGTCCAGTGCTTCAACCACCATACCACCTGCCTACCCCCAGCATTTTATTTCAAAGCAAGACAGTAATTGGTGTTCATGATGATGCTCCTAAGCCAGTAAGAAAGAATCAAATCATATTCTGTCCATTCTATTAAGAAGTAAGAAAGTACAGTAACCTAAAAACAGTTTTCTTGAAAGAAGTAAATTTTACTAACTTAGAATACCAAATCTTAATGCAGTTCATATACTTTGATCTTAGGACTTTGATCTTAAATTAGCCCATGTATAAAATTGTCCTACGAACACCAGTTACCCTAGGAATTTATAATTCAAAGTTTAGCATATGGTAGTAACATACCATAAACCCTTAGGGCAGAAGGAGCAGAAAACCAATTTGTTTCTTGACTTTCCTTGGATAGTTCCTCATCCCTTAGCTAAAGAAATAAAGAGACATAATTAGGAGATAGCAACTGGAAAGTATCAATAATTAAGTGGTCTGAAAACATGTTTACCTCCAATAAATCATCTAGGAAGCTGCATGCTAAAATATCTTGAATTTTTATCTTCCCTTTAAAGAACAAAAAGAAACAATTTCCTTTTAAGAACAAGAGCAATTCAGTGTTTAAAAGGTTGTTATTACAAGAGAAATCATGATTTATATTTTTAAGGTAACTCTTATGCCCCAAAGTCCTTACTACGTATTACAATGGAAAGTCTGCAGGGAATATTTAATAAAATCTCTATTTGTATACCCCCAACTACATAAATCTAAGTGATAAATTACTTGTAAATCACACTGACATCAGATTCCCAAAAAGGTTATGTCAACTACTTTGTGAATATAGATATGATACTGCTGGTAATCAGACTGGTTTTCTCTGAATAAGAGGTTCTGGAACAGGAGACAATACACAAGTATGGGTAAGAGCACTGATAGGAGTCTGAATGCCACTTCTACATATGTAACTACCTAAATCTCAGTTGCTTCACTATGAAACTACCTTCTTTATGGAGTTAGGAGAAGAAATTGAAAGAACTCATGTAAAATGCTTAGTACTGTTCCTGGTACATAATAAATAGTCAAAACAGCTATTATTATTTTATAAAATTTCAAAGGGAAAAGATGTGTGTGTACCTACAAAAGAGGATTTTGAAAGGATCAATAGCTAACATGTGCTATGATGGACTCATGACTGGAATTTTAAGGACAGAAGGACAATCAAGAACCTTGGTTAGGGCCTTCTCTATCCTTTCTTTGGCAATAGTTACCTGTACTTAAGTCTGGGCAAGTTAGAACAATTGATAAAACATCCTAATATCTTAAGAGCAAATTTACTAATCTGATCCCCATTTCATGTAGTTAACTTGAGAAAGAAAAATACATCATGAGTAAATTGCTCCCATGTCCCCAAATGCAAATTTTTCAACAAAAAGAACAATTCTCCAGTTGTAGGGACAATAAATCATATCAGAACAACTAACTTCTTAGAACTGGAAGGGGCAATAATGATTGATTATGCAGTTCGTATTTCTTTCTAGGAATGAAGAAAACTATAATAGGTTAGGTGTCATCCCCACTGTCACCCAGTTGGTTATAGTCAGTATAAGCAAATTATAAAAAGGCTTTATATAAACCTAAATCAAAGCACTGCTGCTGTTCTTTCTATATTTTCCTATGTCCTTGAGATTTTCCAGATTATTAATAGCAATGACATGTTAGAAAAATAAATAAATGACATTTCCCAAGCCTTTTCTTTAGTTACCGAGATTTAGACATAACAACAGCCTCGTAATTATCTAAGTTAGATGAAATTTTCTTTTACCTGTTCTTAGAGGATCTAAAAAGAAGAAGAATTTCCTAACTGCTGTACAAACATAAAAGGAGTAAAAGGATTTTTCCAGCCCATCTAATTGTGGCAAGGTGGGGATAAGTTCCAGTATGTAGTTTTCTAAATCCTGAAAATAAAACAGAACAAAACTTTAAAGTGTTTAATGCTGAATACTGATTCTTCATTAGATACTGGAATGTAATTTCAGTCCTAAACGTTAATATTATATTGATAATGAATTAATATTAATAAATTATTAAATTAATATTGTATAGATGATGAAATCCATGACTATGTCAGAGGTAAAACTAAATTTTGCTTTTACTAATTTATGTTTTTTTTTAAAAAAAGTTTTCTTATCTTTTTTTTTTTAAGATTTTTGCTAGAGGACACATATACTTGCTGGAGAGACAAAAAGAGACTGAGATAGAAAGTGAGAAATCACCCTCCAGGGGAGATGATCATGCCACAATCCCTTCTCCATTCTCCTCTCTGGGTCTTGGGCATGCACGCACACGTGCCCGGTGTGTTTCAAAGTGCCATGTCCAGGACTTGAACTTTGGTCAGCCATGTGGGAGTCCAGTGCCTTGACCACTACTTCACCTGGCCCGATTCTCAGCATTTTTATTTACGTATTGTTTTTAGAGAGGTTTTTGCTGTAGGGCATGTGTGCTCGCCAGAGAGACAGAGAAAGACGAAGGGACAGAAAGCAAGAAATCACCCCCTAGGAGGATGGCCACACCACAAGCCCTTCTCCAGTCTCCTCTCGTGATTTTGGACACACACACACACACACACACACACACACACACAAACACCCGGTGTGAGTTTTAAGCCACCAGGTCTGAGATTTGAACCAGGGTCGACTATGTGGGAGTCCAGCAATATAAATATTATGCCATCTGCTGGTCCCATTTTTTTTTCTTTCTTATTTTTTCACATTTTATTGATGTACAAAAAAAAAATCTTAGATAATTTCAATAGCAGGTTCAGCTGATATATACATATCTGTGAGCACATGTCTAACTTTAGGCATAAAACTCAGTGAATTAGAATGAACATACTATAAAGTAGCACCTAGCTGAGGCTATATAGTTTACTGAAGTCATTAAATAGGTTTTTTAAATGTATTTTTTAATTTAAAGAAAAGCAGTTTGAGCTTTAATAAATTAAAGTCATAAAATGTTAAGAGAAATTTGCCTAAGACTTAAAAGTTAGGAAAAAGGTTAGGATTCTATTCAAATAGTAGGTAGATGAATCTATTTTTAAAGTAAATTCTTTTTTACGCGAGGGAGGGGAGGCACACTCAACAGTTACCATGTCAAGACCCACCCAGTCTCAGTCAGCCTGAATTATGGGCATGCACATACATGCTTGGTGTGCTCAGGGAGGTGCCACAATACGAACCCAGGACCTTTCTTATATGGGTCCTATTGTATCATCACTATTCCACCACCTAACCCCTCTCCTAATTTTTATTGAAATTTTAACATATTTTGAGTAATACAGTAGTATTATTGTATTATGTAATAATATGTAGTATCAATAAAAAAATACTCATTTAAAAGTCTTCTCTCACCTATTTCCTCTCCTCAGAGTTACCTATTATCAGCTTCTGCTGTAGCTTTCCAAAGATTACTGATGGAAGTATAAACCAATGCATATATTTTAGGTCATCAGAAAAGTCTTTCCTGACAAGCCTTACACATACACGTATACATATATACAGATATACATATAGATGTATATTTCTCTCCCTCTTTCACACAGGATATAGCAACATACCATGAAAACTGCTTTTATCATCTAACAGTACACTTTACAGTCATTTCATACTGGTTGTCAAAGAGTTTCTAGTCGGACCAGCAGACAGTGTAATAGTTAAGTTACTGGACTTCCACATGGCCGACCGCAGTTTGAGTCTTGGACCTGGAAGCTTGAAACTCACACTGGGCGCATGTGTATATGTGCCCAAAATCCCAAGGGGAGAATGGTGGAGAAGGGATTGCAGTATGGCCACCCCCCAGGGGATTTCTCACTTTCTGTCTGTCTTTCTCTGTCTCTCTGGCAGAGACACACCCTCTGTAGCAAAAATCTCTCTTTAAAAAAAAGAGTTTCTAGTATTTTAAAATATTATGTATTAGTTCATCTTATGGTGGTACTCAAATCTATTAACTAGCCTCTACTGGTGAATGTTTAGGTTGTTGCTAATCTTTTAGCACATTTAAAAAAAAAAATCTGGAAAGGGCCAAGTTACTTTTCCATTCATAAATATTGTGGAAGAATATCGGGGGACCAGCAGATGGCATAGTGGATAAGGTGCTGGACACTCCCACATGGCCAACCATGGTTCGAGTCCTGGACCTGGTGGCTTCCTTTCTCTCTTTCTCTCTCTCTGTCTCTCTCTGGTCAAATTAAAATGAATGAATGGATGAATATAATAAAATAAATAATTATTAAAAAAAAAAAAGAATATCGGATACAATTTCATTAAGTACAATCACTGGGTCCAAGTGTATGTGCATGGACAACTTTGACAGACACTGGCAAACTTCCTACCAACCCACACAGGACATGTACATTTTACACTCCCACCAATGATGTAAAGACTGTATTTCCACAGTTCCCAGAATATGCACCCAGGCTCTTGGGAGCACTACAGTTAACTCACAGGGGTGCGGCAGGATATTTTAAAACACTAAGGGAAACACAGCAACATCTGTCATATACTGCATGATAGACATTGCCGTGAGCTAAAACTTCTAGCTTATTCTGAAATTTAGATTGCAAGATATTCTTTTAATGACAGAAATTTTGCAAAGCTAGGCTTTTGATGGTTCCTATGATAAGTACCACATGAAATTCAGTGCAAAAAATGAGGATGACAATGTCCAACCCAATTCCCAGGTGTGAGTAGGTTTCTATGTGCACCCATGTCCCATTAGTAACTTACTTATGAATGAAGTGAAGTTGGGTTGTTGGAAATGTCATGACACATTTTTTACATAGAAAACCATCAAACTATGTCACGACATTTCCAACAACCTAATATTTTCTTTAAAATGTCTAATAGGATAGGATAATAAGTTCAATGAATATTTTCTTTACATTGATAGAACTGGTTAATAAACGGAACTGTTGCTTTAACTTTGCTTAGGATTTCTGCCCTACAGGTAGTTTTTAAATTAGGGATTTCCTCTGGCTCTGGGGCATGGTGGAAAAAATTTATTGAGACACTAAGGATGTCATTAAAACTATTATGAAACTTTTTCATTTTTGTCAATCTGATAGGTGAAAATATTACCTTCATGTAGATCTAGCTGCCATTTCTCTTATGTGAGATTAAAAGTTTTTTCATTTTTTTAAGAGGTTTTTGCTATAGGGTGCGTGCACTTGCCAGAAAGAGACAGAAAGCGAGAAATCACCCCCCAGGGGAGATGGCCACACCGCAATCCCTTCCCCTCCATTCTCTTCTTGGGATCTTGGGCACGCTCGCACACGCACCTGGTGTGAGTTTAAGCCACTGGGTCCGGGACTCGAACTGCAGTCGACTACATGGGAGTCCAGCAACATAGCCATTATGCCAACTGCTGGTCCCTAAAAGTTTTTTTGTATAATGAAGAAGTATTTGGGGGCCAGTGGGTAGCACAGTGGTTGAGGTGCTGGATTTCCAGATGGCAGACCTCAGTTTGAGTCCCAGACTAAGTGACTTGTTTTCTTACTTTCTCTCTCCCTCTCTTTCTCCGTGTATCTCTGGTGAGCATGCGTGCCCTATAGCAAATTGAAAGATAACAATAATAATAAATAAAATTAAAGAATTCTTTAATAAAAAGCATTTATGTTTTACTTTCTGTATACTATATTCTTTGTCCAGTTTTCCAGTGAGTTAGTGGCATTTTCTTCTTGATTTCTACTGGGTTGTCAGAGAAGTTGTGACCTATTTTTCTGTGTTTTTCTATGCAAAAATGGATCATGGTTTCTGACAACCCAATATTAGGGTAATTGGTCATTTGTTATTGATTTTCAGGTTATTTTCCCTAGTTTATTTCTTTAACTTTGCTTAGGATTTTTGCCCTACAGGTAATTTTTAAATTTAGCTAAATTTATTAATTGTTTTTTGACTTCTGAACCTTTTTCTTTAAAGAATTATTTTATTTAACTTTATTTATTTGTTTAATTTGACCGGAGTGGGACAAAGCAACAGAGAGAGAAGGAAAATGAGAAAGCAAGCCACCAGGTCTAGGACTTGAACAGCAGTTGGCCATGTGGGAGTCCAGTGCCCTTAACCACCATGCTACTTGCCAACCCCTGACTTCTGAGTCTTGCTTGCCAAACTTAGATAGGCTTTCCCTATTCCAAGATTATATATTAATATTTAGTATATTATGATTTATTAAATTTATTTGAATAGTTTTAGTTGTGCTTTAGCCTCTTTAAGTGTAATGTTTCTGATAGATCTGAAATATTTTATAATTTAACTTTACAGAGCAATAGCATCTCAAAATTAAAAGTGTCTAAAATGGGACTCTCTTCTCACCCCCAATCTGATCCTTACTTGCCTTTCTCCTATTCTAGCAGTATTTAAAGCAAAAATTTAAGACTCCTTTTTGGTTTCTACTTTTCATTCACCTATGTCCCCTTTCCCCAACATCCCACCCAGCAGCAAGCTGTCACTCTAACCCTTGATGCTATGCTCTAACTACATTGGCTCCCTTCTGTTTCTAGACTAGGTCAGGTTTAGTTTTGCCTTGGAAACACAGTACATGTTCCTCTATATTAATCTTCATAATGCTGGCTTTTTTCTCATCCTCATGATTAAAATTTAATCTTATCTCCAGGTCTATATCTAGTCTACCTTAGTTATCACTAACTCTTTCTAAAATAGCTCTTCAATCCCAATCATAACTTTGCCTAGTACCCTATTTTATTTTCTCCATATGACTTGTGACTATTTGAAATAATCTTGTATGTAATTTAGTGTCTGTCTCCACACTCTGCTAGGGAAAATGATCTATAAAGCTTAGATTGGTATCAGGCACCAATTTAGTGTTCTCACTAAGTGCTTATTTAATAAGATTTAATAAGTAAATGAAAATTTGCATATACTAAAGTATAGATGTTGGTTTGGAAATCACTATCTTTTTTGGGAGGGGGAGATTTTTGCTACAGAGTGTGTGCGCTCACAGGAGAGACAGAAGGTGAGAAATCACCCCCAGGGGGATGGCCATGCTGCAATCCCTTCTCCATTCTCCTCTTGGGATTTTTGGGCATGCACACACACATACCCAGCATGAGTTTTAAGTTGCCAGGTCCAGGACTCGAACAGCAGTTGACTACATGGGAGTCCAGTGACGTAACCATTACACCATCTGTTGGTTCCCCCAAAATCCCCCACCAATAACCACTGTTAACATTTTGGTGTCTGAAATAATTATGAAAAGTAGGTTAATACTTACAGATTCCCGAAGGTACCCTTGCCCAGCGACATCATATAAACTGAGGCCTATTCTTGTTTGATGAAGCCAAACTAATGATAAACAAGATAATAAAATGATTAAGGTCCATCCTTTAGCATTTATATAGAACAAGGTTAGAGGTACAAGCTAATTCAGTAACTTTAAAAACTTCTTTCTTCTCACACATTATATAATCATTAACTCTCAGATTGTCTGAAACAAAACAAACATACATAGAATGGCAGACTTCAACAACTCTATCATGACTAAAGCTATGATAAAACTGATGCCCCTTGAGGACATCATTCTTTGCTTATTAAACTTGGTGTTCTACCAAATAGGGAGAGCTAGTGTAATGTTATGCCTTCAGTGAAGCTGCTCTTATTCTACTGAGATTAATTACAAGAACAAAATATTAGTTAAAGATGGTATATACTAAGATTTCACCTATCATTATGGGACTTAAGAATTGTTAACAACTCCAAGTTATTGAATAGAAGCTCCTTGAAAGTGATGTGTGTTTGAAACTATTAATATTCTTTCATGCAACTCGACCTGTGATATACTGAAGTAAAATTACCAGTAATTTAAAATTATTTCAAATCAGCATCCATTAAAACTCTTGCTTTAGCTTTTAATATTTCCATACTTCTACTATATTTAGGACAAATGAAAAAAAATTTTATAATAGTGAACCCAAATTTATGGTAGAAAGTCATGCCTCTTATAAGCTTCATGAGATAATAATAATATTAATAGTATAAAAAATCCTGGTAAAAAGACAAAAAATTCTGCTACTCAAACTTAGCAGAGTTGTTTCACATGTAAGTACTATAAACACAAAGACCAAAACCCTGGTTAATTCCCTGGTAGAAGGAGTTCAAGCACAATAAAAATGAATCACCTTTTCTCATGACATAATTAAAGAACTGCATGATGGAAATTCTTCCATATGAATCTGTATGAAGGAGTTTAGCAAAGATCTTTGCTGTGAAAAACTGCCTAAGGGAGAGAAATAAAGATTAAAATGATTTCCCAACAAATTACTTTTCTGTAAATTAGCAAACAGCATAAATTCACACAATCAGAAATCAAAATGATGGCCAGCTGGTGGCATGGTGATGAAGGCTGCTGGCTCCCACTGTGGCCAACTGTGCAGGTAGGAATCCTGGACCTGGTGGCTTGAAAAATAAGCTAGGAGCATGTGTGTGTGCCTAAAATCCCTAAAGGGGGAAATGGAGAAGTGACTGCAGAATGACTATTTACTATGGGGGTTGCTTTCTCATTTTCCTTTTTTGCTCTGTCTCTGGGGAGCACATGTACTCTTTAACAAAAATGAAAACAAACAAAACAGTGGAAAAAGAATTAAAGAGACTACTAATAGCTCAAAACTCACAGTATTAATTTGTCTTTGCATTTTGTTTTCTTTTGTATTAGTCTGTTTTAAGAATGAAGGTCTAGGAGTCACCTGGACTCAGTGACTTGAAACTCATGCAATGTGCATGTATGTTTGCCCAAATCTGGAGAGGAGAAGGGATTGTAGTGTGGCCATACCCCCTGGGGGGTGATTTCTTGCTTTCTGTCTCTGTCTCTCTCTGTCTCTATGGCAAGTACATGCACCCTACAAAAAAAAAAAAATCTCTCAAAAAAAAAAAAAGATCTTAACTTAAACCTTAGATAATAAATTTCAAAATTAAATTTTAAATAATAAAGCTTATACACTTCATTATTTCTTTTTCTTTTTAAGCTCCACCCCTACCGCAGGATGTGTGCACTTGCTGGAGAGAGAAACAGTGAGAGAGGGAAAGTGAAGACAGACTCACCCCTTGGGGAGGATGGCCATGCCATAATCCTTTCTTGTCTATTCTCTTCTCCAGCTTTTTGGCACGTATGCACACACACCTAGCATGATTTTCAAGTCACCAGGTCCAGAACTCAGTTGGCCATGTGTGAGAGTCCAGCACCTTAACCACCACACCAGCTGCTGGCCCCCATTATTTCTTCTAATAACTTCATACCAATGTAGTATTTTTTTATTGTAAATGATTTTATTTAATTAGTAACTCAAATAGACTCAAATGCCATACCACTAACTTTAATCTTCATTAACATTTGAAGCATTTAAAATGTTTAATATAGCATACTCCTTTGTTAATTATTCTTACTTGCACTTTGGTCCAGCTTTTTCACCAACTTTCAAAAAACTTTCATAATTGATCATTGCTTCTTCTCCAATCATAGGTGGTGTTTGGTGTTTGTCCAGCAAAAACCATAAATTCTTAAGAGAATTGCAGAAATGAAGATGTTATACGTCTACACAGACTTAAACACACATTAAAATGACAGTCATGGGGCTGGCAGGTAGAGTGGTAGTTAAGGGTACTGGATTCCCACATGGCCAACTATGGTTCAAGTCCTGGACCTGGAGGCTTGCTTTCTCGCTCTCCCCACCCCTTACTCTCTCGCTCTGTCCCTCCCTGGTCAAATTAAAAGAGAGAAAGAAAGTAAGTTAAATAAAGTAATTCTTTAAAAGAAAAATGAGCAAGATGAGTTTTAAAAAAAAAAATGACAGTCTGATAGCACATAGTTAAATGTTAAGATGAATCTCATGCCACGGCATCCATTTGATTACTACACTAATAAAAATAGCTAATTTTTACTGAGTAACTAGGAAGTTTTAGGTTTTTCATATTTACTGCCTCTTGAATCCACATAACTATACAATGTAGACAGCTATTTCTACTTTACAGATGTGAACTGAGGCACAGAAGTGTTATGTCCATTCCCTGAAGTAGGGCTAGGACTTGCACCTTGCAAAGACGGTTCTCCCCATGGCTGCACATTAGAATCCCCTAGGGATTTAAACAAAAACCAAGCCCAGCAAATGGCTCTGGCAGGAACCAGTGTTTCAGAGCCTATGCAGTAGCATGCTGCAGTACTAATTCCACTATGCTCCATGAGGTCCTGCGTGACTTAAGGAATATAAATTTAAAAATGGTAACATCTACAGCAACATTTTACTCAGTTCTTACCTGTAATTCTTCATTATCTAAGAGTTCTCTGCTTTTTCTTTGTAGAAAGACAGCTCTGGATTCCTCTCTTAATTTCTGTAGCAAAACTTCATCTTCAGCTGGCAGCTAAAATTACATTGTAAATTTCTACATGAAAAATTTTCGACTATTGGATCATGTAAAATGTATGTGGCCTTTAAAATAAGTATATGCCACTAGTTCATTACTTCTTAAATTTCACCTTAATTTTGCCTAGCATTTAACAAAGACAAATCCACAGAGAATTCACTGATCAGCAAAATCAGATGTCTACCCTGAAAAAGCTAATAGTCTAGTTCAAATTTCATATTATATTATATTCTTTCTTAGATTGTACTCACCAATAAATTATTTGCTATTTAAAATAATAATTAATAATAAAATATATAATTCACTTTTCTTTTTTTTCTTTTAAGAAAGGTGTATGTGCTCACCAGAGAAAGAGAGGGAGGGAGGGGTCAGCAGGTGGCGTGGTGGTTAAGAGCACTGAACTCTCATATGGCTGACCACAGTGTCAGTCCGGACCTGGCAGTCTGCTTTCTCACTTGCCCTCTCTCTCTCACTCTGTCCCTCTTTGGTCAAATTTAAATAAATAGATAAATAAATAAATAAAGTTAAATACAATAATTCTTCAGAAAAAGAGAGAGGAGGAGAGGAAAAATGTGTCCCTCAGTCAGGCATGGTTACACTGCAATCACTTCTCCATTTCTTCATCCTGTTAGGATTTTGGACACACATGCCTGGGCATATTGTTCAAGCCACTGGAGGTGAGATTCCAACCATGATCTGTCATATGGGATCTGGTTCACTGAACCACTAGGCCAGGGGACTGGCTGCCATTTTATATGCTTTTTAAAAATTTAGTTTTATTTTTTATTATTATTTAATTTGATCAGAAAGAGATGGAGGGACAGAGAGATAGAGGGATAATTAGAAAGCAAACCTCCAGGTCTGGGACTTGAACCATGGTTTGCCATGTGGGAGTCCAGAGCCTTAACCACCATGCCACCTGTCGACCGCTCATTTTATATTCTCAAAACATTGTTTCAAGTATTACCTTAGACTGATGCTGAACCAAATTAGAACTCACTAAAGATTGAGTCTTAGAGAAAGCATGCCTATTAGAAGGTTCACCTTCCTCCTCGGTGATAGTCAAGCTAGTATCTACTACATCGGCCTCCAGGACAGAGGTGTTGCCAACTGCAGTGACTGCCATAAAAAGGCCTTTAAAATTACTCACTTCAACCTTGGAACTATTTAAGCATTTCTTTTTACTTTCTACATATTTATCCCATTAAATGTACTTAAAATGCCTTTTGCCCAAATTAAGGGTTATGCTTTTCACTTTTCATTTCCAAGAACTAAGAACCCATCCCTCCCATCAAAAGGAACACCAAAAGAGTATTAGGAGGTGGAGAGAGCTCCTGAGGCTAAGAGCTGTGACTACTGAGACTGTGCAGCTGCTGGTTAACCAGCTAACCAGCCAAGGAGAGAAGCGGTGACTACGCAGGTGGTGGTTTGTATAAAACACTGGGATCATGTAGAGAGAGAGAAAGACGAAGGGAAAAAAAACGTTTCACAAATCCACAGCTGGAGACGGTTAAGAACTTTTCACAAATCTATAGCTGCAGAGAAGAAACCATCAGGGATCAGGAAGTAGTCACAGGGAAAAAGGGGATTCCCTCAGGGAAGGCAAAGGTTTGGCCCTGGAAGTAGATAGAAGAGAGTTCAGTCCTGAGCGGAATGGGGTCACCTGGTTCTTGCCAAAGGAGTCTTCTAGGTTAATAAAATATAATTTGAGGGCCAGCCAGTGGTGAGGTGGTTAAGGTGGCTGGATCCCATATGGCTGAATGCCTGGTTCAAGTTCTAGGCCTGATGGCTTGAGAAATGCCAGGCACATGCGCTGCGTGCCCAAAATCCTCAAAGGAGAAATGGAGAAGGGATTGTGGTGTTGCCATTTCCCCTGGGGGGAGGTGCTTTCTTACTTTCCCTCTCTCTGTCTCTGGCAAGCATAGGCACTCTCTGGCAAAATTTAAAAAAAAAAAAAAAAAAAAAAAAGATACTATTCGATAACCAGGACTAAATGAGATAATGTATATAAAGTACTCTGCAGTTTAGACATACAGCAAAAGTCACTTCCCTTCTCTCTCCCCTTTGTTATCTAAACTATTCCACTGAGAGCTAGATAGGAGCACAGTCCTAAAACCCAAAGCTGCAAGGATGATTCACATAAGGAGGTTCCAGATTCATGTCCTAGGACCTCCCTGAGTTCACTGGGCATGTGTATGCCTACTGAAGCTGGCAGAAGCTAGGGGTGGACTGAGGTATCAAGACCCTGTTGGGAGTGCTTCTCTCACTTGTTTATGGGAAGAAACAAACTTTAAAATATATAGAGACCAGTAGTTGGCATAATGGCTATGTCACTGAACTCCCATGTAGTCGACCACGGTTCGAGTCCCGGACCTGGTGGCTTAAACTCACGTCAGGCATGTCTTATATGCATGCCCAAGATTCCAAGAGGAGAATGGAAGAGAAGGGATTGTGGCGTGGCCATCCCCACCATGGGGTGATTTCTCACTCTTTGTCTCTCTGTCTCTCTCTGTCTTTCTGGCAAGTTGCACGCACCCTATAGCAAAAACCTTTCAAAAAAAAAAGAGAGAGATATACATATATATTTTTTTCAGGGCCTATGTTTAAGACAAATAGAAAATGCAGAAAGCAGGTTTGAATGTATGATGTGATCCCATTTTTTGTTTGTTTTGTTTATTAGTTTTTGCTATAGGGTGTGCATTTACGCGCGTGAGAGAGAGGAGAATGGAGAAGGGATTGTGGCATGGTCACAATCACCCTTGGGGCTCATTTCTAGCTTTTCTTCTCTCTGTTTCTCTAGTGAGCCTATTGACTTAAAAAAGTCTAATGGTTTTATTATTCTCCTTTAAAGACATCCTTACAGATTTGGCACAAGCAAATATGTGTGAGTTAAGTGAAACTCTTTAGGTTAGCCATTATTTTTCAGTTTAGCTTTAAGCAAAATTTTTATACCTTCTAACGAAGTATGGTATACCCAAGAACATAATCCAGTAGAATACTGACTACTAATACCTATAATAGGGGAGCAGCAGTTGGCATGGAGGTTAAAGTGCTTGACTCTGGTTTGAGTCCTCGACCTGGCGGTTTGAAATTCACACCAGGCATGTGTGTACCTGCCCAAAATCCCAGGAAGAGAATGGAGGAGAAGGTATTGTGGCATCTCTCCTGAGGGGTGATTTCTCACCTTCTCTCTCTTGTCTCTCTGGTGAGTATATGCACCCTACCACAAAAATCTCTCTCTCAAAAAATAAATTACATTTTGGGCCTGCCCCATAACCTAGTGGTTAAGAGAGCCAGATCCCTCAAGGGTGACTGTGCAGTTTGAATCCTGGCCCTGGCAGCTTGGAAGACACTGGTGTGTGTGTGTGTGTGTGTGTGTGTGTGTGTGTGTATCCAAGAGTCCAGATAGGATGAAGAAATGGAGAAGGGATTGCAGTGTGACCATGCCCCATTAGAGGGTCCTTTCTCCCTCTCTTTCTTGGGCAAGTACACATGCCCTTTGGCAAATTTAAAAAACAATTATACATTGCATTAATAAACTCTGCAAGACATCTGCTAAGCTACCACTTACCCTATAATAAAACCGGGGAATGGTCTTATAAAATTCATTTGTGTTTTTTCTACCTCCTTTCCATTCTGAGTAGTACTTGGTAAATAAATCCATTTCTTCATCTTTCAATTCTTGTTCACTTTTTTTTTCTGGTAACAGATTAAGAGGAGAAAAGCGCTTTTAAAACAAGTATAAAATTTACTCAGGTCATCCTATATACTATAGTCTAATTAAGACAGCTGCAGTGCCAAAAATGGGCTCACAATTGTGCTTAGACACTTAAAATCTATTAACTCTCTTGAAATACCAAGACTGAATGAGCTTCCCCTACTTCTTCAACCAATCAGTATGCTCCCTCTACATCTGTTTGTCACTAAAGCTTATATCTTCCTTAAGTCATTGCCTTTCTTACAGACCTGTGGAGTATTTCTATTTATTCAATCAAAAGTATTTACTGAGCACTTACTTTGTACAGAGTGCCTTACTAGACACTGGGGCTAGAGAAGTGAGCAAAACAAGCCCAGTCCCTGACCTCAAAGAGTTCCAGCATCATAATCACTAATAGGAAAAAAATAAATAAAAAACAAAACAACAACAAAAAATAAAAAAACCACAGTAACAAAATGCTGATTGAAGCTGAAGATTTTAGGCTTTATTCCCCTCCAACCTGCTTGCTACTGCCACACAGCTGTCTTGTTCAGCCATTCATCTCACTTATCTGTGGATCACGGCAACTGGTTCATAGTGTTCTTCACCTCAAAGGCCTGCAGTCATCCAGGATGACATTTATGTGAGTGACTGTGACCCCTGTAACTGTAAAGGCTTTCACCTCTACTATGTCACTCAGTTCGATGGCAAGACTACAGATCTTCTGACATCTGACATCTAATACTCAAATCATCCTTTCTGGTCATTCAAAACTCACTGCCATAATACTTGTACTTCAGACTCTCCTGAAACCTTCAATTCTACTTTCTCAAAGATTTACTTTCCTCTTTCTGGTCTCTCCTTCCAAAATGCCTGTAGGTGTTACCTGAATTCCTTTTATGACAGCATTTCTGCTTCATCTGCCATACTAATTTTTAACCTTTGCCCAAACCTATCATTTCTTTACTATGGCGCAGTCCTGTTGGAAAAAACAGCAAGCACCTGCAAGTAAAATGGGGACTGAAAATTGACCACTGGGTTTAACAGTATGGAGGTCACTTTTGACTTTTGACAAGAAGCAATGAGAGACAAGTATAAATTTAACCAACTATTCTACTAAATGTTGCTATTAGGGAAACAGAATAATGAGGCCTACCTAGAGGTGTATATTAAAATTTTAGATGGGAGAAACACCAGGATGTTTATTTCTGATGAGAATGATAGTGAAAAATGGATGACACAGAAGCAGGGACAATGGCCAGAATACACATCCTTGAGAAGGCAAAAAGGAGACTGAGCACAAAGGATGGAATCTGGTACACTGATGAAAACAGCCTTAATCAGAAGCCATGCAACCTATGTAATCTGTTTATTTTGATAACTTTCTCTCCTTACACAGAAGTGAGGACAGGGATTTTTGTCTGTTCTCTTCACTGCTATAACCTAGAACAGTACTCAGCACAGGATAAGCATGCAATGTGTGTAAAGATGGAGTAGGTTCAACAGTTAAAAGGAAGAGAAAGCAAAGACATCATAGTACAGGTAATTCTTTAAGAAGTTTTCCTATAAAGAGTACAGAAAAATGTAGAAGCTATAGAGTTATATGAGATTAAACGACTTTTCAAAAAAATACATAAAACATGGTGATACCGTAGCATGTTTGTAAGTGCTGATGAAAATGATCCACTAGAAAAGGAAAATTTGGAAGAGAGAGAGGACAAGGCTGGAATGAAGTCAGTGAATATAAGAAGGGAAAGTGATCCAGTGCTGGAGTAGAGGAACTCACAGTAGAGGAACTATGAGCATAGTCACTTCATCATTTTAACAGCTAAGGCAGAGTCTAAGAGTGTATGGGTAACCAGGAGCTGATAGACACAGTAAGTGCTAAGTTTCCCTTTGACTGCTTTCTCAATGAAATATACATTTAAAAACTAACGAATTCATCAGCTAAAGATAAGGAGTGGGTAGGCCACACTGGCGGTTTGGGAGATAAAGAACTGAGTGACTGTCTAAAGAAACACTGTAGGTGTTGGCTAAACCACCTAGTTTAGGTTAGTGGATGTGGATTAAAAGCGTGACAATTCACCATGGTTCTGTTTTTCTCCAGCTACTTTCAGTTGCCCTGAGTATTAGTGTAGAATTGGGGAGGGGGGGAGACTTAATCAGGTTGGTTAACAAGCAAGAGTAGCGAGGGTAAGGGACAAGAAAAAAGAATTACGAGACCTAAAATGGATAATAAAATAAAAAGTTTGACAGATAAAATGGGGTAGGATCAATGAATTACAGGTTGTTGGAGACAAGGTTCTCAGGTATGGATCAAGCCCGTGCAAGTCAGTGTCTAAGACTAATCTTTTCGTTCCCGCAGATCCTTTCCCAGGGAAGTTGGGGTCAACCCTCTCTGGATCCCTAAAGCACCTTCTACTCCGCCTCCTTCGTCAGGAGAGGTTCTACAGACGCCGCGAGTGCGGCGGCTCCCACTTGCTGCTCCTCCCCATTGCCCCTCCCCCCCACCTCTGAGAGTTTAGGGCTGGGCTACCCAGCAGGCAGCCCCTCCCAAACTCACCGTTTGCACCGGTGTTGGGCGTCGCTAACCGCCGGCGAAGAACTTCTTTCCAGTCCAGCACCGGTGTTGGGCGTCACTAACCGCCGGCGAAGAACTTCTTTCCAGTCCATGGCCGCCTCTCCCGCGGCAGCTCTTACATTTGCGGTTTACTCATGTGAGGGGAATTTTGAAAGTAATGGGGGACCAGCAGTTAGAGTAATGGCTATGTCACTGAACTCCTATGTAGTCGACCGTGGTTCGAGTCCTGGACCAGGTGGCTTAAACTCACGCTGGGAGTGTGTGTGTGCATACCCAAGATCCCACGGTTTACTAACCGCTCCACCCCCTACCAGCTCAGACGTCAGACGCTAGCAAACGCCGTAAGGTTAAGGAAAGCCGCCCGGCCGCCATCTTGGACATGGGCGGAAGTCTTGGCGAGAGCAGCAAAACGGTTAGTATGGCTGTCGCGAAGGATGCGACGACCACGTTGGGCTAGGGGCGAGCAGTAATGAACTAGATGGGAAACAATCCTCCTTATTGGAGGCGTCCCGACCTCACCGAGTCCGATTTTAAAGGCCAGGAGAAGGAAGGCCGCGTGTTTATTTCTTCGTCTAAGACTTTGGCGCGTGTGCATCACGTGACTCAGGTGTCCATTGGTGTTTACGTCTTAAGGGAAGCGTTGTCTTCACAATTTACTTTCCTTGCTCGTTGTGGGTGTCAGGAGGCCTTAAAGATCACCTGGATGTGTAGAGCCTCCTCTAATCCGCTTTTGCTACTGGAAGTTTTTAAGTCGCCTTTCCCCCTAGCGGTCCAGATCGGACAAACTCTCGCGGGCCGGAACTGGCGCGATGCATTGTGGACCCTGTAGTTTCCACCGCGTTCATGGCTGCGTTAAGCTAGAGTGTTGAGGTGAGTTATTGAATGAAATGAACTTACTAATCAAGGATCTGAACGCTAAGAGGTTCCCCGAGGACCTCGCTACGTTACCTGAAGTTGTTGACTCGTCTGACTGCCCCTTCACTTCCCTCCGACAGTTCTCCCCTCTGACGAGTTTTGTGGCCTGAGAGTTGTTATGCATTGAGAGGGTCCTAAAACTTTGGCCCTGTCCTCTGTTTGCTGCTTCTGATGGGGTGGGGGCTCCTGATCGCCGTTTAGATTTTACGTTCCGTTTTTAGTAAGGCTCCCATGGTATCCTCTTTCAAGACCGTGGTGATCCACGTGGGTCAAACTGGACGTTACTCTTTGTGCTTTCTCCTCAGGTTCGTGGACAATGTAACAGGCACCACAGGCACCAGACGATTCCTGCCGTGTTCCCTGATTTGTGGCTTACAACTGATGTTAGATGTCTCTGGATCGTTGTTTAATGGCGATAACTCACTTGCCTTCGTTGCTATTAAATAACTCCAAAAGCGGAACCCTAATTTGTCTGTGAAGGAGAAAGGAAAGTCTCATTTTGGAAAGTTAGGCTTCTACTCTCCGCCCCTCGCCCTCAAACCCTTACTTTTGCTGCAGAAGTATTTTTTTGAACAGCTCTCTCACTATTTGGTGCTGATCTCCCTGAATAATGACTTTCTGTCTGTCTGGTATTCGAAAGTTTACTAAGCTTTGGAAGAGCAATCCACACCATGGGCACAATCCATTGCCCTATTATCTCTCTCTCTTTCTCACAAACCCCTGTGGCATCAAGAAGCAACAGACGTGGTTTTCTCTTAAAGCATTGTCTCCGCAAAAGACTAAAGGGACCAGTCTACTAAGTGCCAAGGCCAGACATCTCCGGAATGAGGAGGGCAGTACTGTGCAAGTGTCTTCTGATTCTCCTCATCTTTTTGCAGCTGGAGCAGCTAAGAAGAGATCACAGATGAATCCTCAGAGTAAACAGAGTAAAGATAATGACTTGCCACCTGTGAGGAACATTATTCAACTCCCAACAAAACCTTTAACTTCAGAGGAATGGGATAAACTTAAGGAAGATTTCAAAGGAAAGACTGATTTCGAAAATTGGATTAGTTCACAGATGGCTCACTGCCATAGCTCTGTAGATGTGGCTAAATCTCTGCTGGCATGGGTAGCAGCAAAAAACAATGGTATCGTAGGCTATAATTTATTGGTCAAGTATTTGTCTCTTTGTGTCTTTCATAAGCAGACATCAGAAGTTATTGATGTCTATGAAATCATGAAAGCCAGATATAAGAGTTTAGAATCTGGGGGATACAGTCTTCTCATCCGAGGATTAATCTATTCAGATAGGTGGAGAGAGTCCTTGTTGCTGTTGGAGGACATTAAGAAAGTCATGACACCTTCCAAAAAGAACTATAATGATTGTATCCAGGGAGCCCTCCTTCATCAAGAAGTGACTATAGCTTGGAATTTGTATCAAGAATTGCTAAGTCATGACCTTATTCCGATGATGGAAACTTTAAAAGCCTTCTTTGATTTCGGAAAAGACATAAATGATGATCAGTATTCAAACAAACTACTAGACATTCTTTTGTATCTAAGAAATAATCAGCTGTATCCTGGGGAGTCATTTGCACACAGTATAAAAGCATGGTTTGAGAGGTAATTTTAATTTTTCTTTATATATAGTACATTTTTATTTTAATAACTATAACTGAAAGTATTCCTTCCTTTTTTCATTAGTTGCTGAGAATTGTCCTACTCAAATTTTTTTCTGTCTTAGTAATATTTGTTTTATGTTTAAGACAAATTGTATCTTTATTTTTTTTTTTAGAGATTTTTGTTATAGGGCGCATGCACTCGCCAAAGAGACAGAGACAGAAAGCGAGAGAAATCACCTGCCAGGGGAACGGCCACATCTGAGTTCTTTCTCCTCTGTTCTCCTCTCAGGATTTTGGGCATGCATACACATTTGCTCAGCGTGAGTTTTAAGCCACTAGGTTCAGGCCTGAACTGTGGTCGACTACTTGGAAGTCCAGCAACGTAACCATTACACCATCGGCAGTCCCCAAATTGCGTCTATTAAAAAAGTAGTAACATAAACAGTTTGTGCTAATTTGTTCCTATAGCAGAAAAAGGAAATTTTACAGTACTTGTAATTTTTATGTATTTTTTTTCAGAAGGATCATTTATTTTGTTTTCTGATGTGCCTAGTATGATGTGAGTACTTACAACTAGTACCTGTGGCCATAGTTTGCAGCAAGAAGAGGATACAGTATTTGACTGGAATTGTCCTTGGACCATATTAGTATTTTCAGATGTTCCTCTGAAATCCAGTGACTGAAATAATACCTATTCTGTCTACTCTGCATTTTGCCAGCTTGGATGGATAGTGAAGACAGGAGAATTTTGATCAAACCCAATATACAGGGCATTAAAATCTAAAATGTTCACCCTTCCAGATTGTTTTGGATCTTTCCATTGTTTACTCTCTCTCTTTTCAAATCTCTCTCCTTTGCTCTTATTTATATTTCTGGCTACTTAGTTGTTAATTTCTTCAGTCTTTCTCTTTTTTAAAAAATTTATTCATTGTTTTTTTCTATGAGAGAGAGAGAGAGAGAGAGAGAGACAACACCCCTCCACAGGTTCTCAATCAGCCAGCTCTACATTGTAGGCATGCACAAGTGTATTCAGGGAGGTCTGAAGGTTCAGTTATGAACCTAGAACCTTCCTATGTAGGTTAGTCTGACATCATTACCTCTTACAGCACTACTGTCAGGTTTCTGCTATGGTTTTTTTAATTTCATTTCTTCACCATTGATTTACGTCACATCCTTCAGTAAAAGTTAATTTCTTCCCTCTGTTTTTCTTTTGCCTTTTAATACATATCATGTTTACAGAACTTTGAAGTAACAATTATTCTTAATTGTCTCAACAAACTTATTGTTGAGTTTACCAAGGAGGAGCCAAGTTGTCAAAATCTTTGAATGCCAAGGAGTTTGGATTTTATCTTCTTTTCAAGAATGAGGAGTTTAGTTTTAGAAAGATAATTGCCAAACAGTGAGAAGAGTAGACATGAGAAGGAATAAGATTGGAAACAGGAAGCTCTGTTACAATTGTAGGTTTGGGTGAGATGATGAAGTCCTTAATTACAAAATAGACGATGAGAAAAGGCAATAGGATCAGTAGGAACTGATGGTAATATATGTAAAATGAAAATGAAGAGGATAAATTGAGTAAATAAATTGAGGAACAGTTTTGAATGCCTCCAGTTAGGCAAAGCACTGGGAATGTTTTGTGATATGAGATCTGTTATCTTTGCATTTCTAACCTAATTGAGAATGCAATAATTAAATAACAATGGAGTATAAAACTGTATTCTAAGCCTAGGGTGAAAATACTCTGAGCAGGAACGATCTCTGGCAGCTTTATGAAGAAGGTTAAAGTTGAATTTGGTTTCGAGATTACACTACTAAAGTTATCTGCTTCCTGTATAGATCCGGTGAAGGTAGATACATTTTGACTTGAAGAAGATGAGGGTTGGATGGTAGGAGAACCAAAAGGCAGGCAATCCAGAATAGGGTAGCATCAACTCCTTAGCCGCCCCCCCCAAAGTGTAGCAAACACTGTTTAAACCATTCTAGGGAAGTATCCTGAACTTCTCAGAACTCTTGCTTACAGAGTTTCTAAATACAGTGACTATCTTTTGACTCAGTAGGACTCTAACCTTCTGATGATTTGGTTTTGCAATCTTTTTTATAGTATTCCTGGAAAACAATGGAAAGGACAATTCACCACAGTCCAGAAAAGGTAAAGATCAATATTTAGGTTTTTTTCTTATCTTGTTTGATTCAAATTTCGTAGAAGTTGTTGTTACTGATTTAAAAATATTTTAGAGCACTTTTGGGATCAGGTAACTAAGATTTTGTATGTAAGAGTACTTGAGAAAAAAAGCCATGTTGTACGTACAAAGACTTGGAAGTCCTCAAAATCTTTTCCTATAGGTACAGTGAGTCAGCATGACGCCATAAAGATGTTTTCCCCTAGGGGCCAGCAGGTGGCATGGTGGTTAAGGTGCTCGACTCCCAGATGACTGACTGTGGTTCAAGTCCTAACCCTGGCCACTTGCTTTCTCACTTTCCCTCTCTTTCTCTCTGTATCTCTCTAGTGAGCGCACATGCCCTATAGCAAATTAAAAACAATAATAATAAATAAAATTAAAATGAATAATTTAAAGAATAAGATGTTTTCCCCTAGAGATTCCTGACTCAATTATGTTTTAGGGATTAGTTTAGAAATTTCACCTGGATGCCCAGCAGTATACTTTTTGGTTTTCTGGCACACTAATGTATGATAGTTTAAGGTTTACAAAAAATTAGAATGTGCTGATCATAAAAGTTTTAATGGTCTTTTTCTTTTCCTTCTTAAAATTTATTTCTTTCACAAGACAGATACCCTTGACACAGTCTTGCCATCCTGTGATTCTTCTCCTAGCCTCCCAGTCAGCCAGGATTCTTGGGCACTCAGTATGTTCAGATTGACCTGAGATCAGAACCTGGACCTCCAGTATGGCTCTAGTATCATGTAGTGGTGCCTTACTGCCTGGGCTGCCATAACTGGGCCTTAATGTGTTTTTTGTTTGTTTTTAATTTCCTCATGTCCTGGGATTATTAATTTGAGAAAAAGTTTTTTTTTTAATCTTTTCTTTCTTTTTTTTTTTTTTTTTTTGAGAAGTTTTTGCTATAAGGCGCTTGTGCTCGCCAGAAAAAGAGACAGAGAGAAAGTGAGAAATCATCCCCCAGGAGGGATGGCCACGCCACAATCCCATCTCCTCCATTCTCCTCTCGGGATCTTGGGCATGCATGCACACACACCCGGAGTGAGTTTAAGCCACCAGGTCTGGGATTCGAACTGCGGTCGACTACATGGGAGCCCAGCGACATAGCCATTACACCAACTGCTGGTCCCCCCGTTTGTTTTTTTTAATTGTCAGAGCATGACACATTAACTTGCCAGAGAGAGACAGTGAGACAGAAAGAGAGGAGAAGAAAAAGTACTCCCTGGTCATACCACAGTCCCTTTTCCTTTATTTCTCTATCTTGTTGGGATTTGGGGCACACATATACATGCTCCTGGTATGCATGTATGTATTTATTTATATGTGTGTGTGTGTGTTTCTTATTTATTTTTAAGAAAGATTTTTGCTATAGGATGCATGTGCTCAATAGCCAGAAAGTGAGAAATCATGCACCCTACCCCCGGCCCCAGGATGAATGGCCGTGCTGCAATTCCTTCTTCTCCATTCTCCTCTCAGGATCTTGGGCACACATGTACACACACCCAACATGAGTTTTAAGCTGCCAGGTCCAGGACTTGAACCACAGTTAATTACATGGGATTCCAGCAATGTAACCATTACATCATCAGCTGGTCCCCCTCCCAGTATGTTTTTCAGGCCACCAAGTCTGAGATTTGAACCTCAGTTGCCATATAGGATCTGGCTCCCTTAACTACTAGACTACAGGGCTGTCCCAAGAAAAAGTTGTTTCCTAGGACATTAATTAACATAAACTATTGTAATTACAGTGGTCAGTGTTTGGGCTGTGGAAAAACTATAGAGTCCATTCACTTGAGTCCAGAAGAGTATGAATTTCTCAAAGGAAGAATCATGAGGGATGTGATAGATGGAGGTGACCAATACAAAAAGACAACACCTCAGGTAGGTAATGGCTTTCATTGCATTCTTAGATTGCTTATCTAAAGCAGGATCAGTCTTTTTTT